TGGTAAGTTGAACATTACGGTACTTCGAATTTATTTAGGTACTGGAGTAACAAGTAGGCTACTATCGTACCTCTGCAAATTGCGGTGATGAAAACAGAGTACTGTATTGTATTACACAAATGACTTAATTTCTTGGGTGCAGCTTAAAGTTAGGCAATGCCCAGTGGTCCCTTCTTGCTGAGATCAGATACTCAAGTTTGAGTTAAGTTTTTATATGATGGAACATGTGACAACAGTGGCCAATTTACTGCTCTATAAAAACAAGCCAATCCAAATAATGTACATGTTAATGAAATAGCATATTCTGTACTGTACAGAACCTTGTAATGAAAGTGGACTTCATCAAATGGGGGGTAAACTTTGGTATTCAGAATACAGGTCCAATGAAAGACAAAAGTCGTGTCGTGAATTTTGGTGAAAACATATGCCGAAGGGCTAAATTTTGGTGCTCTCTGTCTTCTGGTAGGGGGCTCATAATGTTTCACGAGTTATATTTAATCTTCAGACAAAACCGCGACACGACTTTTGTCTTTGATTGTACAATACAGTACTATATTTTGTAACTGCAAATTAGTAAGCATGTGTGACCAAAAACTGGTTTCACGGTAATATGAAATTTTTATAATTTTTTTGTTTTGGCCAATGTCTTAACATTTTGGCATGCAGTCTCCCTGAGAGAGCTTTTGTTTACAGGAGAATGATGCTTGGGTGGGACGTAAATCAACATTCCATTTTATTTACTTATTTTTTCACACTTGTGTGACTTAGAAGTAATTAACTGATGGCTTTATGCCCCAGTTGCCTCCAGGCAAATTTAAGGTGGGGATTATGGCTGGATACCCTTGCTATCACCAGCCCTCTGGTCACTGTAAAATTATTTTATTTATTTGATATTTTATTTTAACTTCCCACACAATTTGATTTCTCTAAAATGTATGCATTTACCATGATGTGAGAACATTTTTCATTTTGTTGGTAAGCTGTGCATGGTGGTATTGTACCTAGCTCGAGCAAAAATTTGTGAACCAGGTTGGGGGGGGGGGTAGTCTCTTCCTTGAATAAAAATGCAAATTAAGAAAATGGAAATTCCTGTATGGGTTAGTTTAGATTATAACTTTGGTCTAATTTAACCAAACAGATATGTTATCCCTGTATATTGTTTGCTCATTTAATCATTGAAATTCAGAATCATTCCTTCTTGTTGGCAGCGGTGCCCATTAGAGTAAGTAATGATTGTTTAATGGGTTAGAATGATTTCCAGAAGGTATTGTAATAGTTATGAGTTCCATTAACTGAGCCATAACTATAGAGCATCCTAAGGTTTAGTATGCTAACATTTTTCTTTTCCTCTTGGACATTAGCACAGATTTCCTTAACTGTATTGGAGGCTTATCCATTTAAATTATTATTTTCTTTTACAAAGATAAAGATGTGCTAGGAAACTCGGAACTTATGGCAACTACGAAGGGTACAATACCTTAGTGCCAGGTCACTGTTAATGGAACTGTAACTATAGTACTGGATATTTACTTCCTTTATAAATGTAGGTATGGCATGGTTGGTAAAGTATAGGTTGAAGTGATACAGTATTGTAAAAGTAGCTGCTTCATAATCTTAGTGTAAATTTTATGTATACCCTAAAGTTTGAGAACCACACTAGTTGGAGTTCTAATATCAAAATTTTGCAGTCTGTGCATATTTGTATTAATGCTCTGTGTAGTTATGTGTAGTAATGTTCAAATACAGTATGCAAGTATCCTTTATCTGCTTATTAGAATACATCCAGAATATATGTGCATTTGTTCACCATGAAGGCATCAGTTTGAACCACCAGGCTATTATTTCCTGGTGAGAGAGTACCATATATACTGTACTGTACTATTAAAATGGATATCCTAGTCTAATTTTTAAATTTCTGTACAGTATTTAGATTGAAATACAGTACGGTACTGTATTAAAATACAATATAAAAAAAGGAAACCTTTCCAAAGCTAGTTAAAATGAGTTGTTTTCTGATTAATTGGCCTATAAAAATAAGGTATGCAATTCGGAGTTTTTGTATGCAGTTTGGTCAAAATTCAAGGGGTTCACTGGTGTGTATGAGAAGTTTTAACTTTGTTATTGTTAGATATTTTATCAGTTGTGTGTAACTTAGTTATGAATTTATTTGAATATTTGGATTAGTTTTGTTCTTACAGAATTTTATAGGGCCAGTTTAGTAAACATACAAACCGGAACATTGTTTTTTGCCTAAATTTTATGCATTACGTACTTTGGTACTGGTATGTCTTTTATTACATTATTATATATTTATAATTGACTGCAAGGAGGTTAACATCAACCCAAATTCTTATTTTCGGCATGTTACCCAGTAGAACCAAAGCTTGTTGACACAATCGTTGCAAAGTGGATCAAACTGTCACCCCCCCCCTCCCCCCCCCAATTCATTGTACAGTACATTACTGTATAACAAAATAAGAAACTTTAGATTTTTTACACTTGTTATAGCTAAAAAAATCGGAGGGAATAAAAAAAAAATCTGTTACGGATGTGCTAGGCTATAGCACACCTAACGAGGAAGTAAGCAAAATTATTAAATGAATTTTACCACCGAACTGAAATACCAGTGGTATGCACATCTCTTTGTTATAAAACTATAGTACTATAGTACAGTATATTGTACTGATATAGTTCTGTAAATATTTTTAGTTGAAGTTATGTGCATTACAACTTAGTGGTCTGTTTCTGTGCTTCGTATTTTATTTGTGACTAGATTCAGTTTTCCATCTTATAGTTGCTAGGCTTGTGTACTGTAGCCTAGTACAGTACCTGTACTGTACATTTGAAAAACAAAACGACAGCACCTTACTCATTTTTTAGTTTTAACATACAGATGAATATTTTTTTAATTACAATCACTTAAAAAAATTGCAAATGTGACAACACACCACTCAGCCACAGTCTGCTTCCTGGTGCTATGGTGGTTAAGAATGCCAAAAGTGTTATTTCTCCAAATTCAGGCAAACTAAGTATTCCCCCTGGAATTAACTGTTCTGTACTCTTCTAGCATAGATTACAGTATAGTACTTTACTGTAGATACCAGCCAATTGTGTACTGTGCTCTACAGTATACATAGCACAGGTATAATTGCCACTTGGCTGTAAGGTATTATGATCCTGGTAGGTTGTGGATTGGTTACACTTGATTGGTGCTGAGTGCCACAGTTAAATTTAATTTTCAGTAAAATAAACACCACAGTACAATACTCTGTATTTATTCATGTTCAGGGTAATTATTCAACTTGTTTCGATGTAGCTACAATAAAAGAGCAATAGTATTTGCTATTGTACAATTTGTATTTGCATAGTTTACTCAATGTAGGGTGATTTATGTACAATGATGTGTGAATACTGTGCTGTAAAGCACATCGGTTTAAACTAGTTAATGATTTATAGCCTTCCTTAACCACCCGCATTGTGGTGTGACAGCCAAGTGTGGATACATATCGTGTCTTAAGTGTCACTGGTTTGCATCCAGGGTGCCCCAAGTTTACTTGTGGATGGGTACCTACGTAGCATTATGGTTTGGTGTATTAAGGCTGTCAAGTACTTTGTCAGTCACACTACCTCATGTACTGAAGGCTTTGAAGACAATGTGTTTTATCTGCATTGCCCCTACAAGGCTTTCAAGCTTTTTGGGAATGATTTTTCAATTTCAACCTACCTTGGCATAGTGTCCACCAATATCAACTATATTGTATATGGAGTATCTACCCAATATTCTGGTCTCAACAATGGCAGATAGTAAACTCCACTTTATAAAAAATAATTTTCCTAAGTCTATACCACTACTCCTGTTCTGCTACTTTGCATGAATTAAATTATAAAATTGTTATTTACCTCAAAACATTTTGAAGAATGAAGAAAATTCTGCTGTTTCCATTTATGGACAGCTGTATTTCCATAGATCAGATAGGCATTTAGCAAATATATAGTACAGTGCTATTGTTCTCGTATAATAAAATTTCAGCTCACACCTTAACTGTACCTCCATTATTTCCAGCTATGCCTTGATATAATGGAAAAGGTTTTCCTTGTGGCACATGCTAACCCATTTTACTTATCAGTAGGTAGCTATGCAATCTTGATATACTGTAGAGTGTAGAGTACTGTATCGGTACAGTACTTTTTGTATCTGTATTGGATCTTCAATAAACATTAACAAAGACCAGTGTCCTCTTTATTATCAACACAATTATACTTATTTCAGTTAAATAGCATTGAGAGTAAATGAAGGATAGTTTAGATTTTCAAACTGGATGGGAATTTATAAGAAAAATATCAGTAGGAAGGTAATGAGGAAAAAAGCAAGTGAATTTGCTGAAACCTTCAACAGTAATTAAGAAGAAACAAAATGGAATAAAACTTTGCTTATATAAAAAAAAATTACAGTACAGTATTTTATTGTACTCTGTAAGTAGGCATAGCAAAAAAATGATTAGAAGAATTTGGAAACCATATAGAGTAGGAGTTTTTTGTGCTGTAAGTTGTGAAAAGTCTTTTAATTCACTTAACCCATACAAAGAAATTCCTTGGGGAAAACATATGGCGTATACTGCACATTTGGGCTCTGTGTATATCTAAGATTAAATGACCTTTCCTGTGTCCTGCAATGTCTTTAGCAGAAGTGGCAATACTGTATTCTAGAAACCTTTTTGAAATTTTCTCTCCATTTTTAATATTAAATTTTAATTTATTTTAAATCATATTATTTTGTGTGCGTGTGTGTTCATTTCTTTTTATTAATACTGTACTGTACTTTAATAGCTGTATATAGAGAGAGTGTTTTTTGGGGGTGTTCATGTTAAGGCTCAACTGTAACACTAATGATGTTCCATGTAGTGATTGTTACTAATCATAAACCTTTCAGGATTCTCACATGACTGCAATGGTTTAAGGTATTATTTGCTGATTAATTATTTGTTCCCTTTTCTTCCCAGATCAAGAAGAGAGCAAGTGAGAGAGACTTGGTAAAATTTGGAAATACATTCATCATTATTTTTCTTCTGCTCATTCCTGCTTGAAATTTTAATTGCCATGGCTCCCCGAAAAGGTGGAGCAGCAAATAAGAGTGGCTCGAAAGGAGCGCCCAAGAAACGGGTGGCTGCAAATGGATTTAAACTCCCTAATCCCATTGCACCAGGAATTATCATTACTGATGTTGGGAAGAAGCAGTGGATAATTGGAAATAGCATAGGTAAGTGATGCTTGTGACCTGTAGCTGAAAATACATAACTTTTTATATATATATATATATATATATATATATATATATATATATATATATATATATATATATATATATATATATATATATATATATATATATATATATATATATATATATATATATATATATATATCTTAAGCAATTTTATGTTTATTAGAAATGAGTTTAACAACTGGTTAACATTTGGTTCACAGGTGTTGGAGGCTTTGGAGAGATATACTTGGCCTCAGAGGATATTCAAAACCCTGTGAGTAGTTTGGCTGACTGTGTCATCAAAGTAGAACCTCATACCAATGGACCCCTTTTTGCGGAAATGCACTGTTACATGCGAGTTGCCAAACCTGACCACATTGAGGCATGGAAGAAAGAAAAACGACTCAAACGTCTGGGGATGCCAAAATACCTGGGATCTGGTTCATTTGAATACAACAACAACAAGTACCGATTCATGGTGATGGAACGTTTTGGTCCTGACCTTCAGAAGATTTTAGAGCAACATAGCAAGAGATTCTCATTCAAAACTGTTTATCAAGTCGGCATTCAGATTGTAAGTACTGTACTGTTATCTTAGATGTTTTTAAAACTTTCCTCAAAAACAAAAGTGTAGCTGATATATATATATATATATATATATATATATATATATATATATATATATATATATATATATATATATATATATATATATATATATATATATATATATATATATATATATATATATATATAATATTTTTCTTTTTATTTCTTTTCAAACATTGCAATTTTTTTTCTTATGTATGTATTTTAAGAAACACTGATTTGCTCATGTTTAAAAATGTAAAGAAATGGTTTCAGTAAATGCACCCATTTATGACCCAACAAATCTTAACTGATATGTTTATCTCTATTGTATGTTTTTAAGACGCAGACTGTATGGGAGCTAGCTAATGTATAAACTGTAATGGATATAGTGTTAGTATTTTCTTCATAGAATTTGTACTGTGACCTAACTTAAACTTCACACTACATTCTCTTTCACAGTTGGATGTTTTGGAGTATATCCATAGCAAGGAATACATCCATGCAGACATTAAAGCATCCAACCTGTTAATTGGACATAAACCAGGTACTGAGAACCAGGTATTTTTGGTGGACTTTGGTCTTGCATGTCGCTATGCAAATGATGGGAAGCACAAGGAGTACAAGTATGACCAGAGGAAGGCCCATAATGGAACCATAGAGTTCACTTCAAGAGATGCCCATATTGGTGGTAAGACTCAATATTTGTTCAATTTTATGAATGGTGTAAAGTTAAGTATTTTAATTAAGTATTTTCAATCTTTTACATACCATATAAGTGTATTCTAATTCTCTGCTGGAGATGTGAAGGGAAAAAACTACTAGGGTCAAATTTTTTGAGAAAATTGTACATCATCCTCTGCTGAATATCAAATTGATGAATTTGATGTCAGTTCCTTCTCCACTAGAGTTCCTGTCAGTGAAACGAGATTTAAACTCAAGATTCACCCATAATTCTGGCAGTATTTATTGATCTAGTAAAATTATGTCATTGGAAACTTGTGGTAGGGTGGAGTATTTGGTCTGTTACTGACATAGGGATACAAGATGGTGTTTGTAAGTCCCAGGTGCATTGAGTCTTCATCAACATTTTACTCTCATTTTGCAAGCATGCCTGGGTTAGCCATAAGCATACTACAGTAGAATTAAATAGTGTTTATAGTTTGGCTTATTTATTTATACAGTACATGTATATACATTTGCCACTCATTAAATATGGGATAGAGGGTTTGAACTTGAAACATCACACCTCAGACTTGAAAAGATTATGGGATGTTTGATGTCTTTTCATTCTCAAGTCCTATGGTAAAAATATTCTCTCACAGCTCACTCTCGTCGTGGAGATTTGGAGATCCTTGGCTACAACATGACTCAGTGGCTTTGTTCCTGCTTGCCATGGGAGGACAACCTCCAGGACCGCAACTATGTTTTTAAAAAGAAAAGAGACTTCATGGACGATGTCAGTTCATTTATCTCACATTGTTTTCCTGACACTGAACCACCAGGTGAGTACAGTACCAAAATGGGTATTTGCTCTTGGGAAGAGGGATGATTTTCATATTAGGGCTAAAATTATAAAGGGCAGGATAAAAGATTTACAAGAAATACATATGCTGTACGGTGGTCCCTCGGTTAACGAATACATTTCATTCCAGAGTCGTTCATTAACCGAATCTATTATTTCAATGGGATATTGGGTAATGGTTCCAGCTCACAGAAAACTACATACACAGTATAAACAAATTGCAGTAAAGTACACTTACTTTGAGGTGTGTATGTAGAATGTTGCTGGTTGTTGATGATGGGAATTAGAAGTGGGGGGTGGAGGAGGAGAAGGAAGTGGGGATGGAGGAGAAATTGCCTTTCTTTGGATCCATGCTTGATGCAGTAATTTCACCAATAAAATTTTAAGTTCACTAGCTGTAATTAAAGATTATTGTATTTAAATCAACACTGCACTGCACTATATATTATCAATATGTTAACTAAATTTCAGAATGACCAATAATTTTAATGTAAAAACGTAAAAATACTCTGTATTCATGGGAGCGACAAGCATGATGTTTCCTCCACTGTAAACAAAGTTAAACTGATGCTTTGGCGGGTGAGTCAAGCGGCTGATGGGCGCAAAAAAAAACTAGTTCCCTGTACTGCATATATTATCAATATGTTAACTGAATTTTAAAATGACTAATAATTTTAAAATGCAAAAATATTAAAGAGCACAACCTTCTTGATAATTACTCCACTGGAAACGAATGTAAACATAGAACCGATTACTTTATTGGTGGACTAGCTGATGCTCACAACAAAACGTGTTTGTTGTAAGGATTTTGTGAACCGAATTGAAGATCCTTATGGGAGCTAATTCGTTAATCGAACCGTTCGTTAACCGAGGGACCACTGCACAGTATATGGTAGTAATCTCCCGTTATCCAGAATTCCTTTTCCTCGGAGCTCTCCAATAGCTAGGATATATTTTGAGCCAAGAAACTTCACTACATTCTGGGCATGGGAACAAACTTTTCGAGGGGTTGCATCGTGCTCTGATGCTTGCACACATTTCCTCACATGTCGGGTGGGGAAACTGGGTATGATACAACAGATTATAAATGGTAGAAAAAACATTGGGGCCCACAACACATCTCAAAGTATTGAAGAGCAGGAAGGGGGATCTGAATATTCATGCTGGAACTTTTAGACTAAAACATAAAATTCTTATTTTAATCATTATTCTTATTGATAAATGATTGCACAACAAAGAACATTAATGGGCACAGTGCTTTCTAAAATTATTTCATGTGTAATGGAAGAGCTTTGCACCATTTTCCCCAGAGGATAATTATATACAGGTATCTAAGTTTTGTGTTGATCATCCAGTTAGGGATGGGAAGGTGAGTTAAAGTGTGCAAATATATGCTTGTATATACTGTACAGTATATATTTAACTTACAGGACTGAAGGAATACCTAGAATATGTGATCAACCTAGCCTTTGATGAGCAGCCGGATTATGAGAAATGCCGCAACATCTTGCGAGCGGGGCTTAAGGCACGGGGTTACAGAGATGATGGCAAATTGGTGTTCATGTCTGCAACACCAGTGCCTCCATCTAAGAAGGCAAAGTCTCGACTTGACCGCAAGGTAAGCAAGCGAAAAAGTGAAGAGGTTGATGAAAATGAATTGGAAGACTGTGAAGATGTTAAAGAGGAACCACAAAAGAATGGGGCTAAAAAAAAATGTCCTTCAGGAAAGGGAGGGCCAGACCCTCAGGTGAAATTGAGAGCAAGGAAGAATTCTCGTGTGTCGAAAAGGTCACCAAGAATAAGCTCAACCCCAAGGTTAGGAAAGGTGGCAGCGGAAAGGGTAAAAATGAGCATCCCAGGAGTTGTTAATCCAACTCCACAAATGCTGGAGCTTATGAAGAAGAAGTTTATGGATACACATTTTTGATTACAATAAATTCATTTTTTGAGAACTAATTGGGATAAAGCGTGGGTGTAGAATACAGTTTTCAACTAAAAGCTACCCATTTATTAAATAGAGAGCTAATTTTTTATATTTCCAGTCGGTTGATGATGAATACGAAGGAGTTGTGGAAACATTACACAAGTAATGAAGTACAGCACAATATACTGTACTATAATTAAAGTGTTCTAACTATATTCACTAGTTTACGGTGCCTTAAATTAGCACTCAATTAAATATTTAACATTCCTTAATAAGGCTTACTTGTGTCTTACAAACAAATGATTTACATCCTGGCTTTGGTATACAGTAATTATTTGCTATTGTTTGGGATGATAACTTGGTAATGTTTTTAAATTTCAGTGTGTTGCAAGAAATTACTCTTTGAAAAACATGACTTTACATAATTTTTAGCTCATTCTCTCAGCATAAACTATGTCAGTTGCTGCAGTAAAAACTGATAATGTCCTTGAATTCCCATTTGTGTTTATGTATTTCCTTCTAATGTATCTGCATTACATTAGTTTGATAAATTTGCTTGTCATATTTTTGTACTATGAAAGATAACACCTTCTAAGTTCTAGTGTATACTGTTATGAATAATAAAGCTTGGAAAATAGATATTTTTTTCTCAATCCCTACCATATTATATGAGGTGTATTAGACAGTAAAGATTTTCATGGGTATTAGCAAATAATTTGATGTTTGTTGTTTTGTTATTGACATTTTCAAATGGTATTTGAAATATTGGTTATTAGATTTTTGTTTTTATAAGTTGGATTATTGCTAACCCCATGGAAATATTTACATTCTAGAAAACCACCAAGAGACGGTCAGAAGAAGAAGAAAATATAGCGGAACTCACCCCTAAGAAGATGATGAGAACTTCCAACATATCTCCCTGTAGACCCAGAAATAAAAGGTATGCTGAACTGACATTGGTCTTGTATTCATTTAAAGTAATAAGGTAACAGTCTCTCCTTGTTAACCCTTGGATCTTACATGTACAGTTATAACTAAACATTTTGGCGGTAATTAGGTAGGAAATTTCAATCCCCTTTACTGTAATGATCTGCAAGTAAATGATAGATATTTCCAAGTGTGCTGGGTGTGTGTGTGTTTTAAATACACAAGAGTACATACTGTATATGCTGGAGTTTGTAAATTGTATAGGTAAATGAAGATAAAAATACAATTAGTGAGTAATGCATGTCCATCTTTCTCTTACAGAGTTAATACTAGAACTTGCCCAAGGGATTCTCTGCTTGGCATCAGTTTAAGTAAACCTTGTCAGCTAGATTCACCTTGCATTGACACCGAAGAAATAATGATTGAAAAGGAGAACCAGAAGATGGCTGCTCGTAAGCAAAAACAAAGACCTAAAAGGTTGGTCATGAAAGACACTTCCCTGGATAATCCTACCCCACAGATGATACAAATTTTGAATAAAATTAGAGAAAAATCAGCATCGCCTCCCGTATGTCAAAAACGGCATAGACACAACAGGTAAGGGATTCTACTTGAATTAATCCTATAGCTGGGTGGGGGTGGGTTACCCACTTACAGCTGGAAGATGCATCATGTATGTACAGTATATTGTACGTTGTTTTCATATACCCCCCGGCTTCGATGTTACAGAATAAAGTATGGGGCAACCTGTCCCTAGTCATAGTAGAGTTAGCTAAATGTAGTTTGAGCTGTTTGGGGTTATATGTTCTAAGGCAAGGGTATGATAAGCTGTTCAAAACAGTATCCCCATTTTTCCTGTACAGTTTACTCATTGTATTTTAATCCAGTGTATATATATATATATATATATATATATATATATATATATATATATATATATATATATATATATATATATATATATATATATATATATATATATATATATATATATATATATATATATATCTATATACTGTATTGCATGCAGTTTTCTTAGTTCAAAGATTTTCATTCTGGTTAAACTTAGATTTGAAGCATTTTTCATCGATGCCCAGAGAATATCAGATTTTATGACTACAGAAGGTAACATACCATAGGTGCATTGAGTTGCTAATTTAAAGTTTTCAGTTTTGGCTTGGTTGCACGTTTTCAGATGTTTCCACTTGAAGATTGAACTGTGTTTGAAAAGGGGTATGATGATACCAGGTATATCCAGTTACCTCATAGGTCTGATGGTTGGATGCATGAGTGAAACTTATCTTGATGTATTCATATACAGAGTGTATCAAAGTCTGTCCATTGGCAAATATTGGGCTAAGATAGCTTATTGCAAGTGACTGATTTACCTTACAGCTTATTGAAAATGGGATGTAGAAGTGTCAATTAAGAATGTGGACCATTGGCTTTAGGAGAGTTAAACTTGTTATTAAGGACTACATTCTTGTAGTAGTTGACAAGGGTTTCATTGGTGTATAACCTATCCTAATTCTTGATGGCAAAGTTAACAAAAACTTTAATGTGCATCTGTATGGTAAAATTTTGATTTGGTATCTTTTCTGGTTTGCAGTAACTGTTACAGTAACAGAAGTAGTCCCACCAATGAGGAAGCTCCTTCACAGTTTACCCCAGAGATGGAAGCTGTTATGAGAAAACGAGCTGAGAGACTTTCTAGTTCATGCAGTGAAACCGATTACGACTCAAGTTCTTCCTCAGGTGTAGGCTCCCCTCAAATGTTTGATTCTTCTGAAAATGAGGAATCTAATGATGCCACAGTTTACTACTCTCCTACAACTGCCTCACCTCCTTGTGTGGCTCCTCAAAATAATAATATAGTGAAAAATGTTAAGGGTAAGTACCTAGTCTCTAAATATTTTAAGATTTCCCTTTCAGGTAACCTAAAGTAGTGATTTGTTTAAAAATGATGGTAAGTCTTCAGTTTTAACTCTTGATATTGGCATATGCAATTTTTTTCCAGCACATTCTGGTGGTCTGTCATTAAATGTGAATATGCTCAAGATGATGATTTAATGATCAAAGAATTTTTTTTATGGCAAGTTGTGTGTTGAATTATTTACCCATGGGCTATATTCGGAACATTGAACACAGTCATCACCTGGTTGTAAATTCAATACAGTGCTGATAATTCAATGTCCTTCCAGGGGATGACTATTGAGCTATCAGTATTTTGTTGTTTTTTCACTTCTGATTTCTGTTAACACTACTGTAGGTACTCAGAGTTGGGTTAAAGGTTTATGAAGAAGTAATTATTTGTATTTAGGATAAATACAAATGAATGTACTGTGCATGGTATGTGAAACCACTAAGAATATGGATTTTTTTTTGTCTCATTTTATTAAATTTATCCTCAACTACAGTCATTTATTAATGTATTGTATTATACTGTATATAAAGTAATAACAAATCTTTATTTAATAATATAGTCTCTAAAACTTAAATATCCAAAGTTGTCTTACGTTGCTTTTGATTTCGACTAGTAACTAAGGTTTCTTTTGTGGTTCATGTGTTTTGTCTTCCATTTTCACTTTCACTAATATGGGAAGTGCACATACATGTTTGGGTTTTACACTTCTTTTCTTGTTGGCATTAACTGCAGTCTGAGTTGAACCCATATACAGTACTGTACAGTATTTTTTCCCTTACTCTTAAGTAAAAGTTCATTTACACAAGATATGTAGAACTTGTGAGGTGACTGTTCTTGTAGTGTTCAAAGAAAATATGATGCATGCATGCCACAGTTCTGTTGAGCAACTTACCAGTACTTCTAAAAGAATGGATGTGTGTGTAAAAAGAAAAACAATCATAATTTGGCAGTTATCTTTGACAAGTAGTGAGCAATGGTGATACAAGTTCTACAAAACGAGTTGAACGCTCAATAGAATAGCAAATAGGCCTTCTAACCTGGGTAAGCAATATTGTGGAAGGACTTACTATATCGTTCTTTTGTTTGGCTTATCATTTTTAAAACTACTACTTTGAAAGCAGGTCATACATTCTCTGTTGGCATATAATTGAAACTATATTTTGCTCCCATTAATATTTTTTCACTCATACAAGTCTCATCTTGTTATAATGCAAAATGGCCAGAATCAAGAACAAATAGACTTCATTTGTACAGTTACTCTTCTTGTTATAATAGATATGTTCACCTATGGTGCACCCCTTCCACAAGAAGACCAATGATATCTATCTGGTTAATTCCTTTAGCATCAGTGTCACATCACCCACCAGTAGCTTGCCCATCCCTATAATTCACTTGATACCCTGTTCTCGTAATATATTCAGTAGCATCAGACAGACAAATTCCGAGTACTAACTGAAGGTAAGAGAGTAAGAAACATCATGGTTGAAACTGCCTAGTGTTGTTTGTTTTTGCATTGACACAGGTTTAATCAGAAAGAGTTTGTAACTGTAAGTAGCAAAGAAGGACACAGAATTTAATGTTAGTGAAGCTAGAATAAGGATTTTTTAGGAAATGGGGTGAATGTCATGAAATGGACTAATAATTAAGGAATGATGGTGGAAAGATGTACATATTGAAAAATATATAGATGGAGAATGTGTCAGACTGCTAAAGATAAGAATGTACAGAGAAATACTACAAAAGCAGCAAATTGGAGGAAATGGAAGTCATACTCTTGAGAGTTGCATAAGGCAAGTAGGATGCCAATATACAGTGGTCCCTTGATTAACGAAATTTCGGTTAAGGAATTAGCTCCCATAAGGATTTTCAGTTCCATTAACGAACAAAACTTCGATTAACGAAAGCCTTAGGAGAAACACGCTTTTTTGTGAGCATCAGCCGATCGGCTAGCCCGCCAATACAGTAATTGGTTCTATGTTTACATTCGTTTCCAGTGGAATAAATATCAAGAAAGTTGTGCTCTTGAATATTTTTGCATTTTTTATATTAAAATTATTGGTAATTCTAAAATTTAGCCATCCAAGCTGTCTACATAAAGTTTTTCAACTAATATTTTTTGCTTGATATATGTAACTTTATTCATTTATTTTTACTCATTTACATGCACACATTGTCCTAAGGGCAAAGCTGTACTGTACATGTACTCAAAATGTACAAAATGATTACTAAGCTTTTTGTCTTATTAGAATTCCAGCAATGTAAATTATATTCTCCCCAGTCACTTCTATGACATTTTATAAGCAAAAAACAAAAACTCAAATCTAAAGGACATGAATAAGCAAATAAATACTTCACTAGACCTTTGGTGCCAACTGTCAAACATGTCCCTTCCCTCCCTCCCAGCCAGGGTTTGGTGGTTTTAGGTTTACAGTTTTTATCTTATATAATATCACCGACTAAAGTTAGGAGAATATAATTTGCATTGCTTGAATCCTTGCAAGACAGTGAATAATTTGAATATAAATTTAATATATTTTGCACAAGAGATAAAAATTTTAGTACATTAGTTTAGTACATTTTAATGGTGTACAAGTTTTTCAACTGTTATTTTTGGGTAGATTTGCATAAATTTCATTTATTTTTATTCATATACATACCATACTAAAAGAAATAAATGACCTAAGTGCAAACCTGTACTGTACAGTACATATACTAAATGATTACGGTACTAAAATTTTTATGTATAGTGCAAATTATAGCTTGTTTATATTCAAATTGATCACTATCGTACAAGAATCCCAGCAATGTAAATTATATTTTCCCAGGCTGTTTCAATGGCATTTTATAAGAGAAAAGCTTAGTCACTCTTAAGGACTGATAAATAAACACACATTAGACCTTGGCACCAATTCTCAAACATATCACCTCACCTCCCTCTCCCCCATCTGCCCAGCCAGGGTTTTAGGCTTACAGTTTTTATCTTATGTAATATCACAGACTAAAGTTAGGAGAATATAATTCGCATTGCTGGAATCCTTGATTGATTTAAGGGCGATTATGGGGATTTTTAGGTGTGTTTCTGACTTTGTGTTTTTTGGCTTTACTTTGTATGTTCCTTTTCTGTGAGTTGGAACCAATTACCCAATATCCCACTGAAATAATAGATTCAGTTAACAAAATTTTTGGTTAACAAACGACTGTGGAACCACTTGTGTTTGTTAATCGAGGGACCACTGTATATATATTGGGAAGAGTCATGAGCACAGTACTAGACAAATCCAACCAGGGTTTGTGCTAGTGAATTGGGTGTATGAGATGAATGGGAAACATGTTTGGTACAATTTAGAGATGAATGAGACATGATAAAGATGGAGAAGTAGAGGGAAGAGGTAATTTTTTTGTTCTGGTCAAATTGTTTTAGCTGGAGTTTACAAAAGAAAAAAGTGTGATAGAGAGAACAGGCATGCCTGCAGACATACACATTGTATACTGTGCTTCCCTGCACTCAAATTCTTTACAATATACCATTGTTCAGAAGTTCACATCAAATTTCTGGCATAACTTCTAGAAGGATGATTTGTATCTATTAATTGCTAACTGTAGTGGAAAGGAAGACAAAATGCATATGATACATTATACTGTATTGCCAAAATCATTGTAGTTCCAATTTTTGGATAACTGAAATGTTGGCTACATACAGTAATTCCTAACAGGCACCAAAATACGATGTTGGTTTTCCTACGCCTGGAGCTGTGTGGCCCACATCCTGTCATCATATCCAGTTGTCACCAGGTCAAAATTTACAATTAAAGGATAACGTTACCTACTACTTATGATTCAGGAAAGAGCCCTTTTTTACCATTTTGTATCGATTCTAAAAAAGTTAGTAGCCTATAGAGAAACTTGTAAGGGTTATATAGTGTGTAGGAATTGTATGCAGCTTAATAAGATATATACATTATCACTGCTGAGAAATACCACATTACACCAAGCCTCTCTCCTTGCTCTCTTATCAAAAGTGCTTTTGATATACAGTATTGCATATTTCTTCTTATGTAAGTGTTGTGTAATATATTCCATGGGTATAGTATAGTGTAATGTAGAAATTATCTTGTATAGTAATAAGGTTATTTTTGTAGTGTTTTATATACATTGCCGTATATAATTATACATTACTGGGTATTTACGAGTTCACATTAGGGAATAATATATATATATATATATATATATATATATATATATATATATATATATATATATATATATATATATATATATATATATATATATATATATATATATATATATATATATATATATATATATATATATATATATATATAATATATATATATATATATATATATATATATATATATATATATATATATATATATATATATATATATATATATATATATATATATATATATATATATATATATATATATATATAATATATATATTAATATATATGCAGTAGTACCCCGCTTAATGCGGTCAATAGAACCCACAGGGTGTTAGGTGAAAACCGCGCTAAGTGAACAACAGAACATATGGGATTAATTCCAATAGAAACTGGCCCGACCCCCAAACTCCACTTTTTGACGACACACAACAATGTTGTAGTAAAAATTTTATCTTAACTTTATGATGGTATGAACAAACAAGTAATATAGAAGAGGTTAGGTTAGGAAAAATAAAAGTTAAGTTAGGAAAACTAAAAGTTAGGTGTAACACTTACGTTAGTAGAAGACACACACTGCGCAACCTTACAGCGCGGCTTGCCCAGGCGGGAGGGAGGGAGGGGGGGGGAGAGGCGAGAGCAGGCGGTTGGGGCGAATCTAAAAATAGTGTCTCGAGGCGGACACTCTGCGCGATATATGGAAAAAACCTGTGTTATGAAAGTTTGGTCCGGAAACTCCCGTGGTCCGGAACGATTTTAGTTTGTCCAATAGGTAGATAGGCAGTTTTTTTTTTTTACTTATCTGAATTATTATTATTATTACAGGAGTATTAAATTTTTGCCCCTCAGGCCCCAATGTGGGTCAGTGACCTATGCCCGGGTGGGCTAATCCCCTTAAAAAAAAAAAGCCGCGGGAAATTAAGGTTTGTTTACATCCGGCAGTTCGGCTGCTCTCTCTCTCTCTGCTTGTCTATACAGAGTACAACATTTAACCCTTCAATATATATGAGCAGTAAATAAGTGTTGCTTTCATATTCTTATGTAGAGTAATGACGATATATTTTCACATGTGCGCACTTACATACGAGCAGTCTCACTTTTTTTTTTACCATTAATGGTTAGCTACTTATATTGTTCCATTTATTAACATTAAATAACATTACAGGTACTTCAAGCAACCATATTCATTTTTTACATTAATTTTACTACAGCTAAACTCAGGGTCTTATTTTCTTCAGTTTTATATGTAGAACCAATCAGTCACTGGTTTCGTAAGCTTTAACATAAACAATGCCGGCAGCCGTCTCGTCTCCTCTAATATTCCACGTATTATTAATAAATTGTATTGTTAATTTTGCACACACGTACATTAATTCAATAAAAACAAATTCAGAAACATTAATTAAAATATATATGAACAGTAAATAAGTGTTGCTTTCATATTCTTATGTAAAGTAATGATGATATGTTTTCACGTGTGCGCATGCACACTTACATATGCGATCTCTCTTTTTTCTTTACCATTATCGTTAGCCACTTCTATTATTCCATTTATTAACATTAAATAACATTACTTAAAACAACCATATTAATTTTACTACAGCTACAACCAAGGTTTATTTTCTTCAGTTTTATATGTAGAACCAGTCAGTCACTGGTTTTGTAATCAACGCATACAATGCTGTGTCATTTCCTCGTGTGTTTTAATATTCTACGTATTATTAATGAATTGTATTGCTCATTTTGCACACATAAACATTAATTCAATAAAAAAGACATTCAGTAATAAACAATAATGAATCTTTTGTACATAAGAGAAATGACGCTGTTTACACGGTTATGCACGTCGTCTGCACGTTGGCGGGCCGTTCAAACCCGTCGAAATTCAAGTTTCTGCCGTCAAAATTTTTATTTATTTATTTTTTGTGTTCCAATATAATACGTTAAGAATTAAAAAACTCACGAAATTTGAGAAGCTACTATACGACATTTATTTATATTAATTTAATGTGGAAAATCTTATTAAAGGAAAGTTAGACTATTCTTACATTTCATACAGTAATTATGTGCAATAAAGATGTACAGTTGTAAGAGAATGTGGAATTTGGAAGGTTTGTAGGTTTGGCAATTTTCTCTGAGAATGTATCGCCATGATTCGATTGCGGGATAATTAGTGGTCATAATGACGATTGGAAATTTTTAATTACATTATGTCAATGGTAATCACTCGGCAACTATGGGTTTCCTAGGTGTGATTTAGGTGTTGTGTTATTTTGGAAGCACTTTATTAGCTAAATCCTGTGACCACTGCCCATGACCCCACTTGTATGTACCCAACCCTAGTTAATGCCCAAGTGACCCTTTGCCACATAGCGGCTAATCTATGAAACGGACCGTGCCGTACTTGGCCCATAAACTTCCGCAAGTTAAAATTATTATATTTTTGACTATATATAGTAATTTCACTGTTACATTTTCCTAGTTATTTACTCTTAGGTGATGAAACAGTAATGAATTTTGTGTGAAGATTATTCTTTAAATAAATATTGCTTTACTCACCATGAACTGGCTGCATCTACCTGAACTGCAGGCCACATTAAATAGAATTTCTCGATCACTCCAAGGTCCGCACAAACACATGGTCTGGGCCGTGGGTTGTTCATGCCTGCAGTACAGTGTGTATTTCACTTGTGCTTACTGTTGGCTTGAAATTATTATGTAGTGTACACCAAAATTTTTGGGTAAAAATAGGTTTTGTGGCATTTTAAGACTTGGGGAATGTCTCATGTAGAATGTACAGTAACTTTACTTTTATAATACAGTAAAAGTCTGTAGAACCATTTTCTTTAATTTACAAAAGGTTTTTCTGGAAAGATACCCCTTTGTAATTTGGGGTCTGCCTGTACCTTCATGTATAGACATAGGTTAGATATAAGTTTGTACAGTGCAGGGGGCCCCCCTAAGTTTGTGGATTTTTGTTTCGCGGGCCTCTATTATTTGCGGATGACACCCTGGATGTACCCAACAATGTCTGTGGGTAGTTATAAAGTTGCCGGCATTTTTGCGGCTGGGAAAGGGAGCCATTTGTTCTAGAGACAGTTATTTCCTTTACCTGTATTGTAAATGTGTGTGTAGACATGCACAAAACACATACAAATAAATAATAATTGGAAAATACTCTCACAAATAATTAGAAACAGGTTTATTAAAAATGTGAGTCTACCCCTGAGTCTGTGCTTTATTACTTTACTAATAAAGCACAGACTTGAAGGTAGACTGTTACGTTTTAATAAATTTGTTTCTGATTATTTGTAAGTATTTTCCAATTATTATTTATTTGTATGTGTTGTGTGTGTGTGTGTGTGTGTGTCTACAGCACATACATACACACACACACACACATATACAATAGAGGTAAAATATATAATGTTCCTAAGGGCAAACAAATTAAGGGAATATACATCTCTTTGTACACAAGTAAAAATGTACCCTTCCCCCACGGTCCGCAAATGTTATTCACTGATTTGGCGATTCGCGGCCATTTTGAGAACCCAACCCCCGCGAATTTGGGGGGCCTCCTGTATTACCCTTCGGAAGGATGGGTCATGAATAATGCAAACTGGGTACTTTTCATAATATAGTTCTGTGAGGATGAATTTGCAAGGGATTCAATGTTTGCCTCATTTCTTTTGTATTTTGAAGGGTATATTGTATTAAAGTTATTAAATTATATTCTGGTATATGAAACTAGAATTAAATTTATTACAGGCAAAATTTTATTGAATACTCTGTATATGTACATTTTCACATAGCTTTAACATTATATTTTGGCTGTAATTAATATTTTGTCATGACATACTACCTGAAAGCAGTATTGTATGTACAGTACTTAATTTATTATTAAGATGACAAATCTGAGCTTGGAAGACTGAATAGTTGTTTTTTAGATAACTATTAGTACAATACCCTTGTATGATACTAATGTATTTTTATAATACTGCATTGTGCTGTAATTAGGAAACAAAATGTCTTTTTAATGCCTAGAAATGCAAGTAATTTAACACTTAATTTAAAAATTACAAATATTCTTTTGGGTCATACATCTTACAGTATGAAATTTAACAGTTTGATATGAAGATCAGTCAGGTTTGTTAAAACTCAAGAGTTTTAAATATTAATGTACTAGTACTACATAATGTTTACCTTATGATATTGGTATGATTACTGTACGGTATATCCATATCCAATACAAAATAATTACAGCCTTAATCCTTGTTACAATATTTGTAAATTTTTATCAATATGACTATATTTTTCAAAATTTGATGTATTAAACTCATTTACTATTTAATTTTAATTGATGAAGGAAACACGAGACTGAAAGGAACAAAACCACTTGTCTCGCCACGGGAGGTTGCCTATCTGCTTGTGACTGCTCCTACGGAATTAAGAACCATTGGAACACAAACATCACCAGGTATTAGAGTGACCCGCAGTACATCAAGACAAGCTTCCCCAGAACTGTTTTAAAGGGGAATAAGTTTTACAAAAATATATTTACAGAAATTTAGTAATTCACAAACAATTTCAAAGTGTGTTGGTGCTCTTGATCGGAAAAGTGAATTACAAAGAAAATAAAGCTCTGAAATAGAGTATGGTGCTGTGAGTGAAGTGTTAAGAAATTGAACTTTACTTTGAAGTGAGAACTTAGGTTGTGTTAGTGCACTGAAAAACATTAGGTCCTAAAAAACTTATCCTGGATGTTAGAGACTTACCTAAGTGTTTGCAATATATGGTTGTACTTTCCATAGTGAAACAGGTAAAGTACTGTAGATAATTATTCCAGCTTAAATAATAAAATGAAAAAGTGGACCAGGCTGTACTGTACATTAACAAAATCCCTGAGAGTTAATAGTTATGATGTTTCTGTAAATAAAACATTTCTCTTTTCCTCGCCAATGGTTGAATCATTACAAATTATTACCTCTTTATGGATTTCATTTTTTCATTTCATTCCAAGCTAGGTATTTCAGATTCTAAATTATTTCATTGCATTCATCATTTTCATTTTTTTTTCATGATGTATCTAATACTGCTTCAGACAAAAAAGTTTGTGCTGTTTATTTCAGATAATTTCTTTGTGTGCCATTCTAGCTCTCAGCTTTATTATGCAAAATTGGTTATAATTTTTTACTATTATTTGATTTTTCCTGAGCTTTGTTTTGTAAACTGATCCTCAAAATTTATGGATGTCTAATGTTGAAACTAAGGCTGTGATTGCCCCAATTCATGAGTGTATAAAAACAAATTTCATACCACAAACTATTCAGGCATTGAAGCATATTTTACATCTTTGTGGCATTATTATAGTATTTTTTAATGTGGAAATTTCATGTATATGGATCAAATGTTCCTTGGTTTTCTCTTCAAAGCCATCAGTTAGGTATTTTGAATAAAAATCCCTTAGATGGGTCCCAAACTATAAAAATAAGAACGTTGTGGGGTAAAACTTTTCAAAGTTAATTTTGACTCGCCAAACACTATCTATCTACTGTTTTCCACTATAGTATTTCTCAAAGGTTTGTAATGATGCAGTGCTCTGGGCTGCTTTACTTATTATTTATCTTTTTGAGGTTTAAGCTTCCTAAAAAATAGTTTACAGTGCTAAAATGAATTTGACCTTGTCAAAATATTTTGGAATCAAAATACGTAGTATGTTTTGCGTATTTGCGTTTACATTGTCCAGCCTGGAAGGCATGTCGCTATTTTCAACAAGTAGCATTTATTTGACAAATTCAATAGATGGCCTATGCCACATGTAGGCAAACAGGAAATTGTTAGAGGGGCATGGTCGAAATAGGTGTTCTAGACCATGTCCTTTAAAACAAACCACCTTATATATACACTAGCATTATACAGAATCACTGAAAAGTCTAGACTATTCTTGATGTTTTTTGTCACTGCTGACAACCTGTAGTAATTATCTTCACTTGAATTCAGCTCACTTTCAACTGTCCAAAGGTAAAATTTAATTGTCGTATATTTGGCGAGTGAAAATCAAGTTTCAAAAGTTTGAAATAAAAAAATTCAAGATTTTTACAGTTTGGGACCTGTTTATTTTAATGGATAGGTTATTAGGTTAAATAAAGTTCCATGACCATGCTAAGAAAGGTTGTGCAATACCTCAAAATATCAGAAGGTTGCATTATACATACATTACTTCCTGCTGATTCATTTATTTATTATATATTGCTTGTCTAACATGATAAAGTGTTCAAGGAAAATCTTTTGGAGTACATATAAATTTTAATTGGATTTTCATTTATCCCAGTAGTAATTTGATACTTGCACATGTAGTAACATTAGTCCAATCCATTGGCAAACTCTTACCAAGCTCAAGATGCAATTTTTTTTAGTTCACTTGATCAATTTTAATTGCCCAGCCATAGTTTGGCTAATGGTCTGGCAAGGCCACGTTTAAAGGGGCACATAATTGTACTCCGCTAACTTTGAACAGTGCTAAGTGGCCTATTGGGTCTATTGCTTAGCTTTGAGCTAAATAAAGGGCAAGGTGTACTGTGGTAGAGCAGAAACTTTTAAGATTCCCAGCCAAAGGCAGAGAATCTGTAGTACAGTATAAACAGTAGCTCTTAAGTGCAAGTGCCATGTTGCATCAAGCAAAAGCAAGGAAGCTATTACAAATCGATCTTAAAAGTTTGGTGTAGTTCTTGCATGGTCGTGTGTTACCCAGACTATTCATTTACTTATTAGTAAGAAACCCTCGGCAGTTAATAATGATGTCTGCTTTGGGGATAAACTGCTGTAATTGGTGACTAATATAAATGATAGGTACTTCTGTGGTGTAAAATGATTTCATGTCTACACTAAAATGCAATACTTCCTGCCATTACTCTGCCTAGTCAGGTCATTGGAACTGTGTGGTAAAAAAAAGGGGGGGGGGGAGGTGGCTAAGAATGTTTTGTTACTATTTGTAATAAAATTAGTTGGAAGTTTCACATTCTTAATGGGTTGTGGTTTTCATGAAACAAGTCAGGAGTTTAACATAGTTTACACATCAATCATAATTTTTTGCCTAGACTGCTTTTTATTTAGCTTACCCAATGCTCAAAATTCATAAATAGCTGATATGAGTTTACCATTTCTTCCTCTTTTGTCCTTACTTCTAAGATCTCAAAGGTTCACGTTGTTTTTGCTCAAAGCTGCGGCTCCAAACTCAGTCATTACTAGTTTATTCCATTGTACAGTGTAAATGTTTTTCCCTTCTAAGAAAATAAAAGTGTTTGAATAAAATTTTTGAGTTTATTTCTCCACTTTTATTTATTTTGTCGAGTAAAAATTTTTTGTAATCAGAAGATTCCTATGTACTCTATATCACTGATTTCTTTTCATGACCTTTGGGCAGGAATCTACACTTCATAATATGACTCACATTCATAATCTTTGAAGTACAGTGGTCCTCAACTTTTTTAAGTATGGTGTGATAAGGGCTTCATCAGTTCATATAGCACGCGAATTTCCATATACAAAAATGCCTCAAGTCGGGAATCGAACCCTGGACCTCTGCGTATGAACTAGGATTGCTACCACCACGCCACAAGGACAACAAGAACAATGTTAGACTTTGTTTTATTTCACACAAAGTCTGTTCTTTGGTTTTTTTTTTAGCAACGTGAACCTCCATCGGAGATTGCCCGTGCCAACTATGTGGTCGTAGTAGTATTTTACCGAATCCAGCTCGGAAACGCGGGGTTACATATATATCTTGTCAGTCCATATAGCATGCAGATTGCCATATCCAAACAATACCTCACTAGTTGGGAATCAAACCCTGGACCTCTGTGTGTGAATAGGGACTGCTACCACAGCGCCACAACAACAAAAGCAATCCTAGGTTGTTAAGATTGCACAGGCAATCCCTGATGGAGATCTAAGTAAGTTTGAAAATTTTAGGCATCTACTGCCAGTACAATACAACCAGCAGCTCACCAGCTTACATCATCGTACTGTAAGGTTAGTTTTACTATAAGATTAATTAGTATATTTTTTTTTATTCAAGTATTATGCATAAATTCTGTACTAAAACATTTACCTGTATATGCTTACTGTGTAATTCACTGTCTTGAGTAAAATTCAAGGTAAGAGTAGTTCATTGAATTGTATTTTCATGAGCTTATGTTTCTTCATAAACAGTCATTATTTCTTATTATTTATTTCTAATGATTTTACACTTGTACATAAATTGTGTACATGTTTATTGTATAGTGCATTATACCTTATATAAAGATCAAAACAGTGCAGTCACAATGATTGATTTTTTCAGATAGGCTATATTTTTTTTTCAGGATTCTATATTACTTATGTACTTTTCGCTATTAAATAACATAAGAATGGAGGAAACTGTAGTGGGCCTATTGGCCCATACTAGGCTGACCTATTTACACCCAACCCCTATCGCTCATATACAGTCTCTCCTCGACTTACGACAACCCGGACATTACGTATTTTCAAGTCCCGATGTACTGTAAGTGATCGTGCTGTGTACTGACAAAATTTTCGTTTGTAATTCCATTTAAAATGGCTGGCAAGCATAAAAGTGAGAGTTCTCGTGGTGCTGAGAAGAAAAAGAGACACCCATTTTAGAATTTCAATGTATTACTTTTGCCTTTTTGACTTACGACCTGGTCGTCGGGACGGAACCCCGTCGTAAGTCGAGGAGAGACCGTGCATGTATCCACGATAATTATAGGACCCAATATTCGCTGATATGGCTTATCACGTTACCCTCAATTGCAACTGTGTACGATTTTCGCCGATTGATCTGGGTTATCGCGGAATTATCATGGGACAGCGGCGGGTCTGGAGAGCCAGCCGTACCAGTGACTGTCAAGAGATGGCAGCACAGCTCGTGGCACCAGCTTTCAGTGACATTGTTTCCCTGCTCTGTTTTGGTTGGTGTTTGAAGACGGTTTCCTGTTCCGTTCTTGTTTTTGGTGTAATTTTTGTTACCTTTACTTACCTTCCACCATGGCTCCTGTGAACAAGAAGTGTTAAGGTTCCTGATCCAGCCAAGTGACGAAGACGTGTGTATACAGCTGTACTTTGGTTGAATGTTCCGATGTTCCCGACAAGAATAAGCATGCGCTTGGCAACACACCCATTGCGTTTTACCACTTCCTTCCACTGCACCTCTCTAATCACCCTCACCTTTCTGCTTTCTCACTCCATAATTTAAAATTTATGTAACAATGTGGAAGGAATATGACATTGTTCGTTTATACTTACACTCAATTTTGTGGGTGGACATCAGCTGTTCAGTTGTGTCTGGTAGTGGGGCAGCCAGTGTTACCAAACAAACTGATTGATGCATCATCTCACCACTTGCCACATTCTCTCCCTCCAGCACCTGCTCATGATCACCACCACTATCTCTATTATCACCACCTAACTCATAATTTCAGTGATGGATTTGCTTTAGCCAGAGCAGACAAGCATGATGTCCACTACATGATATCCCACCCATTTCACACCTTCCTCCCTCCCACCCACTCTCTCTCACCGACACCATGCCTTTCATTTTACTATGGCTGTCATTCATAATACAATATTGTACAGTACTGTACATTGTTGATTTGTTATTCATTAATTAGTAAAGATACGTTACTAGTATTATATCGTTTAGTGTACCTACACATTTTTGGGGGTATATTTTGGTCAGTTAGGGGATGCATCTTTGGGGTCGTGGGACAAAACTAATTTTTCCCTTAGATTGTGTGTTTCGATATGTACGGTTTTGCTTATCACGGTAGTTTTCTGGAACCTAACCCCGGCAAATATCGAGGATACATGTATCCGTCCAACCTATATTTGAAGCTATCCAGCTTGTTTGACTTAATGATGACATCAGGTAACTTGTTCCACTCATCCACTATGCTATTTCCAAACCAGTGTTTACCTACCTCGTGCTTAAATCTAAATTTGTCTACTTTAAAACCATTGCTACAAGTTTACTCATGGTTGGATAGTTTGTTATATTACTTTTGTTTAACCCTGAATTCCATTTACACAGCTCGATCATATCGCCCCTCATTCTCTCGAAGGAGTGTAAATTAAGATGCTTTAGTCTATTTGTACTCAAGGTTCCTAATCCCTGAGATTAGTCTTGTCATCCTCCTCTGAATGCTTTCTAGGGATTCTATATACATTCTGTAGTACGGTGACCAGAACTGAACCGCATAATCCTAGTGAGGTCTCGCAAGCGCACGATATATTTTTAGGATAACCTCTCTAGTCTTGTAACCAACACTCCTTTGTATGAACCCAAGTACAGGGGGTCCCTGACTTACAAACGCCCGCCGATGCGAACAGTTAAACTTTAAATTAACAGTATTTTATTTACCTGATGACTTTATTTTTTACTTTCATTTACTGTATTTTGTCATTCTATTTCTTCCTTTCTCTTAAATTAAGTGATTTTAGATGTATATAACGACTTAGGCTATGATATACTGTAGTGGGATTTTAAACATTGTTCTGAAGTACGGTATGCACATGGCACGTGTTTCAACTTGCGTACATTTTCAACTTGAGAACATCCTCAGGAATGGAACCCTTTCCTAACCCGGGGACTCCCTGTACAATACGTACTTTGTTAGCTTTGTTTTGAGCAAAATGCATTGTTGTCTTGGTTCAAGATTCCTACTTATCAGTACACTGGACCCTTGCTTCCCTGCCTCCTTTCCTAATCTGCCTATCGGTATGGAATAATTTGTAACCTTTTAATTTGGTATTTGAAAGGTAACTCACATGAGTAAGTTTATCCATGTTTTGGTAAATGCTATTACAAGTATATAGATTTTTTCGGTGCATACCAACACCCTGATTTCATCCATTTTATTTCTCATACTTCTACTGCTTGTATAGCAAGACATTTAAATTAGTCGCGATTTGAGTCCTCTCTTTGTCGCGCTTAGGTATTAACTCCCTGCCTACTTTAGCTTTTTCATTATTCCAAGTGCTATTTATCTGTAACCTTTCACTTTCCTTACCTGCACCCACTGCAGCCTCCTTGATCCCCATGCTCACATGTCCCCTAGCAATTTAAAGAGTTCAACATATTCTTTTACTGCCCTCTCGAGAGAACCAGCCAGGGTTGCCACCCCAACCCTAGATAAATGTATCCCATCCTTACTGTTAATTATAATTGGATTTCAGTAAAAAAGGAACGTACAGGTAGGTGTACTGCATAATTTTTTTTTTTTGTCAATGGAATTCAAGAGTATTTTCAAAAGGAATTCCTTGTGAATAATCAGAGATAAGTGTACAGATATCCCTTGTTATCTGAATGGGTTAGGTTCCTTGAAAACCATTTGGATTACGAATAACACAGCTCGTATTCACAGCTGGTGTTGTTAACTGACTGATAGTAAAGTACTACTGCTCTGTACAGCCAATGTCAATGTGTCCGCTGGTTAAGAGTGAGGCAGGAAAGGATGAATGAATTTCACAATCTAAAATATTTTTCATAATGATCAAGATAATTGCATTAACAACTGTACAGTACTCTGCTTATATGCAGAGCATTGTATATTTACAGTAAATTGTTTAAATTAAATAAAAGCATACAGGAGGTCCCTGACTTACGAAAGTCCAACTCTTGAACGCCTGCTGATACGAACGGGGTTAAACTTGAAATTTCCAGCATTTCATTTACCTGATGACTTATTTTTTACTTTCAATTACTGTATTTTGTCATTCTATTTCTTCTTTTGTCTTAAATTAAGTGATTTTAGATGTACAGTATATAACGACTTTGGCTATGATATAGTGGGGTTTTAAACATTGTTTTTTTTAAGTACAGTATGCATAGAGCATGTGTTCTGACTTACAAACGTCTTCAGGAATGGAACCCGTTCATAATCCGGGGACCCCCTATATATAGTGTATTACTTGTATAAATAAAACAAATACTTTAAATAAAGCAGACGACAAAGGATAGTGAAGGGCTTTCATGATGATTCAAGAGGGGATGAGGTTAAGTAAGTCAGGTGAAGAAGGTCAAGTGGGCAGTGAAGTTATATAATCCCAAGGTAGGTGAGGAATGGGTAAAATTATTATTTCTCTTGTTCATGTCATTATGAAATCCTATGTACTGTATTTCACTGAAGATATTATTCAGTGTTATAAATTGCTTGGGTAAATATTCTTCTCAGTTAACAGTATTTTTTCATTAACCAGCAATACTCTGTTCCCATAGGTGCTAGATATGAAAGTTTACTGTAATACCGAGTATATTGAATTTAAAAGAGGAAATATATTCAACAGCCACATTCTTTTGCTTACAACTACACACAGTTTTCTTCCCTCCTCCTCTTTAGGGAAGAAGCGATTACTGTACTGTACTGATAAAAGGTTGTTCATAATCTCAACTTGTCAGCTCAATCCAATTCAATCCTGATAGTTAAGCTGCCCACATCAAAATAAAGGTGACTTCTGAGTTCGTATTAGCTGTTCCTGGTGTGATACTCGCACTTATCTTTAATAATAAAGTAATTAAATTCACAATGTAAATAACAGACTAGTAAGTAACATTTTAAAAATAATTTATTCTTAATATAAAATACTTTGTTATCCCAGAGAACCTTTATTAGCAGTTTCATTTTATTCCACTTAGATTTCTTATACCTGTATAAAATAACCATTTAGTCCTAGCTTTATCAGATGAGCTAGATTATCTTGTATAATATTATTATATTGAAAAAATATCCTGGTTGGTCTTACACTTTCGACACAAACAATAATAATCATCATGACACGATAAGTAAAACCTCAGAGTAATCATTTTTTTCAAAACAATTTGCGGATTCAACACTTGGGTGACTGCCTGCAATTACAGTACAGTATTGTTTTATATACTGAATGTATTATCTCCATACAGTACTGGACTGCCATCAGCAACACGGTCACATTTTATGCAAAAGCTCTCGTTCAAACTGTTCAGCAGTAAAGGTTCCCTCTATGGCTTCACAGTTTGGGTTGAATACTGAATATGCACTTATTTCTCCCTTTTTCTTTGGTTCAGATCTCAAGTTGTACCTGAAAAAATAATCATGAAACAGTAATAATAATAATAATACCGGTGAAAAAAATACCTGGCAATAGTGGGGGTAATAATACAGATTATGTAATAGTAATAATAGTAAAGGTAATAATAATGTTAGTAAGTAAATGTGTCGATCTTTACAGCCATAATTAACTACTGGTACAGAATCAAAAGTATTTCTTGGACTTTTTTGGGGGCAACTATCAAAAGTATTTCTTGGACTTATTTGGGGGCAACTAAAGACCAAACCGAGGAGTTGTTGGCCCCAATTATCTTGCCCATTATAATAATTTTAATGCTAAATGATCTGAGCGCCCTCCCAATTATGTTTATAGGAGCTTGAAATGTGAGTCTAGAACTTAGTTTTGATTCAGTAACCTGAAGCCTCAGTGGTTGAGTCTACTACTAGGTCATATCCATTTTGACTGATTTGAAAGGGTGATAAGACTGGTTATATTGCACCAAAAGCTTCACTACATGGACAAAGTATCCTCTTCCTCTGGGGAAGACAGGCTTGACCAGAGGATGTTTTATTGGTATGGATCTTAGGTCACTTGGTGATGATCTGTAGGTTATTAAAAATATTCTTCTTCATACTGTCACTTACATCTTATAAAGATTAAACATTACATATCAACTCTTGTGTTTGGATGTTAAAAAAAGCCCGAGATATTTTAATTTGCAGTACTGTACTGTACTGTACTATATTATAAAATAAATATGCTTTTTGGTAACGAGCCTATTTACCTTATAAATTTTGACCATGCAAGCCTTTCAACCATAATTTTTTCTTTCTTCTAATTCACTTTCTTACAAAGTACTGTATGTACCATTTAAAATTTAGCAATTATGCTTATTCCCAAAACTCAAATCAGAAAATGATTTTAAAAAAAATGAGAAATTAATCTATTCTTTTCCCCAATCAATAACATACTGACATATTTACCAGAAAATTTCTTGCATGCACTTACCACATTAAGGCAAAGGCACTAAAAATAAAAAATACTGCCCCAAATTCGATGAGGATAAACACTTTGAAGAGCAACAGCCACATCATGGACTTCAGCCCCATGGCAACCCAATCCAGTGTTGTGTAATTTTCATAAAACCTAGATGTAGTGTCATGCAGGTTTACTTCACTGTCATCTGTGCTCATTCCAGAAGATCCATCATTTCTTAGTAAAACTCTTTTCCTTGTTCCCTAAAGGTGAGAAGAATAAAATTTTTACATATAAATATAGGCATATCCATAGATCTTAAATTCCTAAAATGATTTATCTTAAAAAAAAAGTATTCAAGATGAAACATGACTTCTTTCTTATCTCAAGAATATCCCTCAAATTATGAGGATTTCAAATATATTCGTAACACCTGTAGTATTTAAGCAATTATTTTTCTCAACATTAATCTACGTCAACATTTTACCTTCTGGCGACATGATTTTTTTACTTCACATAATCATTACTTAGACGGAACACTTCAAACATTGTCACATTGTATGACTTACCTGACATAAGACAAGCTTATCATTATGTAAAATGATGATGCTTTAAAGAATATGACCTTTATTTTTGGAGTAAGTGAATATATTACCCAGTTCCAAATGACAATGGATGCACAAAGTGGGTAGGGCTTCGAAGGTGAAGGCAATTGTGGGGTAAAAACACACATAAATCAAACCTTTGAAAACCTGACCTAACTTTTCCTAACATTCAAAAAGTCCTGATACTACGCAAGCGTAATTCTCTCAAGAGATAGGAACTGTCCTCTCATTGGTCAAAGCTGATCATGTGAAGTTGAGGTGAAAGATATTTGAATATACTGTATTATCCTGTGAAAGTGTTTTTAGTGTACGTAAAATCCAAAAATTTTGCTGTATCCTCATAATGCCTATATCACGTTCAGCGGAATTTAACGTGTCTGGTTGAGTTAAATAAAGTGAGAGTTGTGTAAGAATAGGCAATCTATTAGGTTAGGAAATGTTAGGTCAGCTTCTCAAAGGCTTGATTGGTACATCAATTTAGTGTTTAAACACCACATTTTTCCTCACTTTAAAGTCCTGCCCACTTTGTAAGAAACCATTGACGTTGGTAGAGGCAAAGGGTCTTATCAACATAAATGAACAGCGACAAAAATAGTTATATTTTAAATTACCATGAAAAGTAGAAGAAAAATTAATTTGGCATTTTAAATTCCCTTTATGGTCAATGATGAATCTTAGTAATGTCTGTGAACAGCGCTATCACCAGAAGGAGTGGTTCGGTTTCATTTATTTTTTCCACAGATGTTCTTATCATTATAGTAAGTATTTTAAAAGAGGCGACATTTACGAGAATCTAATTGACACTGACCTAACCAACCAAAGAAACCTACCTAACCGTACCTAAATTCCTATCTGGGGGGGGGGGGGCTCTGCCTTCTGGACCCCCTGCCATATTAAACAGAAAGTACTGTACTTACTTATTGATATCTGATACCAATGAAAGCAACTTTTTTGAAGTGTCATGGTGTAATTTAAGGTTTTTTGTGGAAAGGAGAGTATGCTTGAACCCAGCAGGTCCTGTCCACTACAGGTGATTTATGATCGATTCTAGATAGAGGAAATCTAAAAAAAGAAAAAAAAATAATGGTATCATTATTTCAGTCATCCATTGAATTTTTGGATTTTAAGTTACCACCGTCCGAGAGAAGTTTTAGGTTAGGTCAGATTGAAATTATGTTTTTTTCCGGTGGTTTTTGATGTGTTTTGAATGATTCTGACCTACAGTACTTCCAAATACAGTAGGTGGATGACCGAAACGATAATTCTACCAAAATACTTATACCTGGTAATTAATGGTAAAACAAAAAGTTGGTGCCGCTTTTAAAATACTGTACTGTAATAGCTGATATGAAAATAAATGAACAAAATCAAACCACTCATTCTGGTGATAGTCCACATCTCAGAAATTACCTGAATCTTTACTGGAGTGTCTTTAATAATTTTTTTTTAAGTTGCTACTTAATTTGCACCCCTGTTCCAGAGATTACTACTTTATAATGGAAAATATCAAGAGAGTAATTTATTTATTAATCTATTTTTTTTATTTAATACTTGCCTTAGAACCGATGACTTTACTGCTATTAGGAATATCTGGTTCTTCACTACTTATATCTGATTTATCGTCTGTCACACATGAAGAACTGGAGGGAAGGAAAGTGTCTTTTGATGCCCCGAGTGTCATGATGGAGTAAAGGAAGTTCCACAGTCGCCGTTTAACACATTTTCTCGCCTCTTCCTTCTTTTTCTGAAGCCGGTAGAGAGCTAACTGTTCCTCCACGCTACGTTTCTCATTTATTGACATTTCTAAGGTTTCTAAACTCTCAGTAAGACGTCAGCAACACAAGACTCGTTCATAACCTTTCTTGACACGTCCACAGCAACACAAACTTGGGGTTCGTTTACACCGGCTCTGAACCCTCTACTGAAGCCACGAACCCCCACTTAATGGAGCTCATAATGAAACCTGATTTTTTCTCATGTCTTATAATATTTACATGAGTTACAGCTTTTAAAATCAATACATATTAAATTATGTACTCGGCCAGGCATAACTATTGAAAAAAAATGGTATTAGTTCTTTATTTCGTTTACTTTTTTCCATAAATGTTCTTCAGATATGAAATAATAAACCGATACCAAAGCTTTTTCCTGTAATTTTATTTTTTTTTTCATTTTTCTTCATCTACGATCATAAATCACCTGTAGTTGGCAGGGCATAAAAAATGGAAATTACGGGATAAAACACGGTAAAAAATATTTTATCACATGACAGTAATAAACCACCTCCAAGTGTTTAGTATGTGTAGAAATAAAATACTTACTGTAAATATTCATCAAATTTTTCTATCGTGTTCGTGTCTCATTGTTTTATGACCATAAATATTGATTGTCGTGTTTTCAATGTTATAGGGTTCACTTTCCCTGGTTTTTGTGTATGAAAGATGACATTCAGATAGTGGATTTGAACCCTTCTATATCGGTTTCGAATCAATTCTAGGTTATTTCAAGTAGCATTAGATTCTAAGAAAACTGTAAGTTTGTATACTTATTGTTCTTTTCGCCAATAAAAGCAAGGAAGGTAGAGTAAGGAGGCTCGACTCCCCATACAGCTGCGTGCTACCCAAAAATAGCATCAAATCACTACCTGGGTACTTAGTAGTTGGGTCGGTTAACGATAGACAGCAGTGTCGTCGCGTGAGTCTCGTCTACGATAATCACTTTTGTGTGATAACGTCATCTACTGTAGCCGGACATCAAGATTCGTTCAGTGTGACAAAACCAAGTTACAGGAAATGGCTCCACGTGGTTGTCATGGTTGTGTTGGTTGTAGGAAGGACAAGAAAAGCCACAGACATAAAATTCCATCGCTTTCCTAAGGATAAAGACCGGTAAGTTTATAATTATGTCATGAAGATAAAGTGTAGTTACTAGTTTAAGTTACCATGGCTTCGGCCCCATGTCTGCTATGAGGTGTGTTTACATTAATGTTTAAAGGAATCATCGGCCTCAGTTTGAGGAAGATTATGAAACTTGACCTCTTGTTTTAATAGTTATATGAAATTTCTCCAGATTACTGGCGCGGTGAACGGAAATAGTCGCAGGAAAAAGTTAGAAAAAATTTGACAATTTTGACTCGGAATAAAAGTCACAGGAAAAAGTACATGGATAAGATTGTTATGGTGAATCAGCCCTTTTTGTATTTCTTGTTATTGTTACTTTATATAATAAAGTGCATTATCACATTCTTGTTTACCTTTATACCTCTACAATCAGACAAGAGTGATCTTGTAAAAAATGTGTTTAACCATGAACAAAATACTGGAGACCGTAATTTCAGTCATTTTGGAATGATTTACGTATTACAAATGATAATTAAATTAGGTGTTCTTCATAAATGAATAAATGAAGTATAAATAAATATATAAATACCAGATTATAAATACGTCTAGGTTAGTATAGTAAGCCCGCTATACGGCATCTTCCGTTTTCTATGAATACTGTAGTTATGTCGGTCAGCTCTAGATAGCGTAGTGAACGGCAGCAATGAAAAATACACGCAAATTTAAGGGAGCTGAGCTTCCTTACTCTACCTTTCTTGAAGGAAAGAGATTCCAATAGCCATCTACGTAGTACTGACATTCTGTTCCGAGTGCGGGTTGTTCAGATTGTTCTTTGATTTATTGCAAGTTATCTCTGCCTGTAGAGGATGAAGACCGTTTTCAAGAGTTCATTTGTCAACTTGGATTAATTGGCAGGACGTACAAGTGTTCAAAATGCAGCAGCAGAGAAATGGCAGTGAAGAAAAAATGTGTTTCAGTGCAACAACCGATCTTACGTCCCCTACATCGGGATATCACACAATGCCGCTTCAAGAAAGTTGCTTTCAGTGGTACCAGATATCAAAGTAAGTTCTTTCTGCTTAATATGCCGGGGGGCGGAGCTCCTCTGTTAGGGAGTTAGGTAAGGTTAGATTGATGGTATTTTATGCAGTTTCAGCCCCAACTCAGACTAATTTTTTTTTTGGGGGGGGGGGACAACTGAGTAACCACCCATTTGCTACGGAAAAACAAAAACATTTGGTCGAACAGTAGTTGGGGCCGAAACTGCAAATTTGCCAGATTGATTAGGTCAGGTTCTGTTTGGTTCGTCAGCGGTTCGGTATTGGGGTGTTTTTAGACAATTTTGTACACTGACTACTTGGTGTTCTATTCGTTTTCTTGTGTAAAGGCTTAGTTTTCTAAATAGAGGCGAGTTAAGATTTAGGTTAGATTTGGATAGGTTAGCACATGATTTCAGCCATTGTTTTTTCCCTAATATAATACAGTATCCTCTTGATGTACTAAACAACTAAAGTAATCCAACATCTCATTTTCATGTTGGAAGGAAGAGTGTTTTCCATAAAAAAAATCGCAAGGAGAGTGCTTTAATACCACTGGAACGCTTAATAACGCAGTGGTGGTTCACTCAATAACATGCCATCTAAATTTTTTCCATGGCACTGTTCGATGTTTGTGTGTTATACTGGATACGCTAAAGCAATTAAGCATTAGTTTCCAGTTCCAAGAGAAAAAAAGATTTATCGGACCAAATATTAGTCAAGTATTAGGCTTACGTTTCAGGCTTATAATCTTGAAAATGTGGAATAGTTCAAAATGTCATTGTAAGTACTGCTGAACATGCTGATTAAAAGGCTAATATGTAGTAGCTGGCAACACCCATTTATATATTTTAATCGTATCCAGGGAGATAGAGGACAAAACTAAAAATTATTTATTCTATAACATTACCTTGGGAAATGTATATATTTCGAGTTATTTTGATTTGTTATATTTTAATTACACTTTCCTGCATTTAAGTGTAACTTGGCCAATCAGCGTCAGTGTCGATGTGACATGATAGTCTTAGGATGTGCTTAGTTCTTCATTGGCTAATCAGCTTAATTCCTCATTGGCTAATCAGCTTATTTTTTCATTGGCCAATCAGCTTAATTCTTCATTGGCCAATCAGCATAAGTCTCTGTGAGTGGCCAGTTGGAAGAGGCGTCTGTGTGTATGAAGGGTGTACTTTGGCTAACTGACGCGTTATTCAGCGCATTTTGGGATGGAGAAGAAAGCCTCAGCCATTGGCATCTTTAGGGCGCACAGTGTTCTCGTTTTGTCAATAAAGTGTCCAAGATGTGATTCCGAGTGTCCGTACAATATAAATTGTCATACGTGGTACTCTGGTAAGAGACAGACAAAGATCACTTTTATTTTCCCGCATCGCTTAATTAAGGCAAATTTCTTACACTCCAGGGGGTCGGAGGAAGTTAGGTCAGGTATTTCTGGTTTCTATGGTTTGGTTAGGCTAAGTTTACTAAGACTTAACGTTTCATTCGTAATCTTGATCTCGTCGATTTTGTTCAGAATCTCAATATTGTTACTCCAGAACATACTGATTAAGAATCTGGTAAAAAAAAAATATATTTTTAATTATTTTTGGAGCGCTACCTATGATGGTTCTTCAAGGCCAGTTTTCTGGTGTGAGTGACTGACGGCTGTGATACAGGATACCGCACTGTTTATTGGTTTTATTGTACTGGGAATTTAGTATTTTGTTTATGTTTGAGGATTGTATAACCAAAGTGTAGGGGTCCAGATCTGGAGGTAGGTTTTCCTTCTGTGAAAGATTGTGTTATGGGTTTTCTTCGAGGTTTAAGAGCAGTTTGTTACATATTACCCAGTTCCCGACTTTAGTCATTTCATTGTTCATTTATCATCAAGGAAAGATCTGAGTGGCTGGCATAATGATTACTATCGTCCGCAAATTAGTTGTGTTTTACGAGTGTGCTGGTGTGGACTATATCATTATGTATAACAAGAACAGTACAGGGCCGAGAATGGAACCTTGAGGGACACCATACAAAATCGGCGAGGAGTCAGAATAATGATTATTATAGCAGACGTACTGCTTTCTGTTCGATACGAGGTAAACCATTTGTGGGATAAGCCCCTAGGTCCGTAATGTTAAAGCTTTGATAGTAAGATGGTATGGTCGACAGTATCAAAAGGCTTTTCAGAGGTCCAGGAATATTCTGACTGTGAACTGACTATCATCAAAGGAGTTCAAGATATCATTAGTAAAGGACGGCGGAGTACTCTCAGTTAACGTTCTCGTTCTAAATCCAAACTGAGAATCTGTAAGGATGTTCGATACATGGGAGGACCGATATGACCTTCATCACCAGATTTTTTTATATGCTGGGTGAACATTAGCAATTTTTAGTTTATCCGGAAGGACACCACTAGCGAAGGAGAAGTTATGTGTGTGTAGGAGAACAGGTAGTAATAGGTAGGCCACATTCTTAATGACGCTCATTGGACATTTTTATGATGGTCGATAATAATCCATCTGCCGTGACAGGACAAGAACAACCGGTTTTGCTATCAGTTTTGCAGGTAGGCTTCAAATTCCTCACTGATAAAATAATCATTGAAGTGGTTGGTAATGAGGGAGGGTTCCGTTACAACTGTATCATTTATCATAAAAGCTAAGTGGGGATATAGGTTGAGTGTTCCTGTTCTGGAAAGACCTGATGACTAGACAAGCGGTTCAAATTACTAGCGAGATAGTCACAGGCTTACCAGTAATTGTCAAGATATCTACTCGGCGGTTTCACAGGTCACGCACTAGTCACCCTTATGCTGCCTATACGGTAAGGTTAGGTTAGGCTAGATTTAGATTACGTTAGGTTTAGATTTGGTCAGGTTAGGTTAGGTAGGGTTCTATTAGGTTTGGTCAGATTAGGTTAGGCAGGGTCAGGTTAGCTTAGGTAGGGTCAGGTTAGGTTAGGCTCGGTTAGGTTAGGTTGTAGGTCTGGTTAGGTTAGTTTAGGCTACGTGAGGTTATGCTAAGTCATGTTATGTTAGGTTGAGGTAGGTCAGGTGAGGTTAAGTTTTGTTCTGGTTGATTAATTTGGGTTTGGTTAGGTTAATTTATTGCGTGTTTTCACCATCACAATGTGCACCTTTACATCTACCTTCTCGGGACTCCTAAATTTAGGTAGGGATGGGGCGGGGGTGCGAGTCAGTGAGTCAGTATTCTTAATCTACAGTGATCAACTAGAATTAGCTCACCTGTATCTCCTTCACCTACGCATTCCTCTGTTAAATAAGCACACCGGGAATAAGAGGAATTCTTTCGATATGAAATATGTACAAGTATCAGTATAACACCCAATAGCAGATCTCAAAGCCGATCATACAGAATAAATATCTCGTGTGGTTCTAAAAGCTACTAGCTATATTTATTTGGGAAACTTCTGCATGTAAAACCATACAGCTTTTTGAAAATCTTGTAACATCTTTGGAACCTTCATGTTTATTATATATTATTATTTTTTTATCCTATTGTAGAATAAAGTTGGATTTTAATTGATCCCGTTTCATTTTTTTTAACCTCTGTGTTTACTTCTCGTATTCACATGTTAAACGATAAAGGTTTCTAAAGACAACGCTGAAAAAGTTTTGGAACCTTTGCATTTATTTATTTCCGGTATTTATTATGTGCAGCTAGAAAGAATTTGTAAAGCGTTCTGTGGTATTTTATTTATTTTTTGGTAATAATTGTGATTGGTAAAACTCTTAATGAAACAATATTGGGTTTCTAAAAGGGCCTATGGTAGTTTAGGTACGTTTTCTAATTTGGAAGTGTTTTATTTATTTTTATTGGTTTCCTGTGGTTGTTGATCAGCTATAGACACTGCGCACACTGGGGAGAAGTACCTATGTGTTTTTATCTGAAGCTTACCTAACACACGCGACCAAAATATTAATCGGTAATTATCTTGAGCTAGTCCACATAAACCTCCGGTAAATTTTGAAAGCTCGCTGTAGGTACTGAGACCCACTTAAAACATCAACGGAGCCACACTTTGAAAAAAGAAACACATGCCATTGAAGTGCTACTTATAAAATGGAATCAACATCTAAGACCATTACTAAGATATTTGTATTTTTTTTTACTTTTATTTCGATATGATTGAAGTTTCTTAAGTTATTGGAACGAAATATCTCTCTCTCGACTGCAAGTGTTGAGTGAGGCTGATTTGTTTGTTATTGACAATGATTAGTGCTTGTGTATGTACAGTATCTTAGAGGAGTCATGGCAGGGGTGAGATTATATAGTTGTGTGTGTAAGACGTCAAGTGCGTTGGGGAGAGATACCTTCACCTCCACAACTCTGAATACATACACACACACACACACATAAACACACACACACACATAAACACATCACACACACACAATCCTCTGCTATCCTCTAAAATAAATCAAAATCAATTGCGGGAAACAGACCTACTTGCTCTCGTGTCCTACGTGGTAATAACGAGTTGTGCAAAACGTTACTGACTGAGCAAACTTCATTAGTCGGTGCAAACGAAATGATTACGTCATTCAGTGTTATATTGATGTGTTTTATTGAGGTGGTGGTGGTGTTAATTTCACCCCGTCCTCTGGCTTCTTCCCCTGCCTTCTCCTTCCCCTGTCTTCTCTTCCCCTGCCTTCCTTCCCCCTGTCTTCCCTCCCCTTCCCCGTCTTACCTTCCTCCTGCCCTCTCCTTCCTCCTCCTGCCTTCTCCTTTCTTACCTCCCCTCTGGGTATTCTCTCTTTTCCTCCTCCCTCTCCCTCTCTGCCCTTCCTCCTGCCCTCCCTTCTCCTGCTTCCTCCCTTCTCCTCCACTATCTTCCACTTCACCTTAGGGCATTTATCTTGAACTTGAACCCATTCGAGAGAGAGAGGGCGTGGGCGATCTACCTGCGTGGGTTGGGCTTCCTTATTTATCCCACCAATCAAGAGAGGAGGTGGGGGGTCGTAATTAGTCAACCTGTGTGGGCGGGGCTTCCTGATATGTCCCACCAATCAAGAGAGAAGGTAGGGGTCGTGGGCACTTACTATCTCACCAATCAAGAGAGGTGGTGGGGGGGCGTGATTAGTCTACCTTGTGAAGGCTTCCTTATATCCCGCCAATCAAGAAAAGGTGGAGATCGTGGGCGGGACTTCCATATACCCTACCAATCAAGAGAAGGTGAGGGTCCGGCAGGATCAGCGAACATGACCTCACAGGATTTAAGGCTGATTCGTGTTTCTCAATACAAGGCTTTATTGTCGACATCTCGCTGACCTCACGGGTGATGGCAGGAGGAGGAGGAGAGAGAGGGGGAGGATGAGATAGAGGGAGAGAGTGAGGAATGAGGAAAGGGGAAGTGAAGGGGTGTGGAACGGAAGAGGGAATGAAGATAGGGGGATGAGGAGAGGGAAGGGGAGGAGAGAGAGAGATAGAGGGAGAGTGAACAGTATCATTAGATGAAAGAGATATAGGGGGGAGGGAGGAGAAAGGAGGAGGAGGAGGGGGAGAGAAAAGGAGGAGGAGGGTGACAGAAAAGGAGGGAAGAGATCATTGGAAGTACCAACAATGCTAAATCTCCGTATTTTAGGTTAATAATGCCCTATGGGGGAGGGGGACGTTGAGGTGTGGAAGACCACTTGACTACTACCTAGGGACTAGAGTCTTTTTTAAGGCTACTCGTACTATCAAGAACATACCTGGACTATTTGGGTGGAGGGTCACTTGAGTTATTTGGGAATTATCTAGGTTACCTGAGGGCTCATTAGGGACTAATCTTGATCTTGGGGTTGGTGGGCTATTTTGAGAGAATCTTTGTTAGAGTTATACAGACTTTACCTAGAACACTTGAGGGATGTCTCCAGATTACGTAGGGACTATCTTAGCTACTAATGGTAAACAAGGGACTATCCGAGCTACTCTGGGCTACTTGAGACTATCTATAGACCCATTGAGAGCCACAGCTGATCTATCCAAGATGCGAGCCTGAAAACTAAATTACTTAGATGGTGGATTGGGGAGATGCAATTGGTCGTAAGGGTAATTAGAACTCTGACTATTATAACTATTGAGGTTTAGTTGGAAATATTGGCAAGCTGGCGAATCAGATTATCTATTACGGTAATATTTTCAAGGCAAGAGGGAAGGAGGGGGGGGGGAGTGAGGCGGGGGGGGGGGGTAGAGGGGGGGACACTGCTCATTCAACAAGCGATAACTTTACTCTAAGCTAAACACGTCATGGCTAAGATGACAATATTACTCTTAGTATCGTCATTTTTTTTAGTTCAGTTATTTCTCATTTTCTTTCGTTTACTCATTTATCTTTCGTTTACTCATTTATCTTCCGTACATTGACATGCTTACAAATGTGATGTTTATATTTTTTTTCTTCTATATAAAGTATTGAATTGTCATCGTACTTTTAAAAAGACTTTTAGATTCTTGTAATATTCAAGGTAAGACCTACTGCTAAAACCCATTGGTAACACTGAATAAAAATTGGCCCATTGAAACACTGAAACACATGATTACCTACCAAATATTAACTCACCTTGAACAAGACAAAAAGAAAATATTGGAACATCGTAACTACTCATGATACACTAAATAGATCGAGAAGCACGGCGGAAAATGTAGTGTTGGAGAGCTGAGGAATAGTTATGTTAAACCAGCGCATCTAAAAACAATGATGAGATTTATTGATCGTTAAAATGTATTCAACAGCAAGGTCTCAAGTTCACCTAACTGACAAATTTATTATTACTGTTGAAACCCTGAATAGAGAGAGTCTACATTTTCACTCATTTGACGAGCGTATTAAATTAGAAAAAGTAATAACAACAAAGGAGGTGAAGTGTTGGAACATGAAGGAGAGGTTGGGCTTCAATAACGCTGGACTACGATGGGCAGCAGTGGTGGGGGGGTAGACCTCAGGCGATACTCTCGGTCATTACGTTAATTTTTACTTCATCTTTAAAGTTTTAAAATATCGCCAGTATGTAGTGTGTAAAATGGCGACAGTTTACATAGATTTCGCTAGATGGATCCAACACTGATGAACACATACACATACACTGATGCCACACCGCGCTACCGAAGATAATCTCAGGGTAAAATCTTTATTGTTAGGAGTAAACCTGTGACAGTAGGGCCATAAAAAACGTGAACACTGACAGGAGACTTGATAAAATGATGAAGCGGCGGCGGCAAGACCTACGTGAACCAACTATTGTCACCACTACGGTCACTTGTACCGCTAGCACATACAGTATATAGCCAGCTCCTCTTAAAACACGTTGTAGTTGAAAATAGTTAAAGAATAATTCGTTCTCTTGATATATTCCACAGTAGTACACTTAAATAATTAATCTCTATAAAGTAAAATCACCTAAACATTGGCTATTAAATAAGTTATTATTTTTCTGGTTAAGAATACTGCCTGTTGCCTCCATTTATCTCTAACTATGTATTATTTATTTTATTGATATACTCTTCGTTAACGTAACGGTAAGAAGGACGGAAGTGCATAAAAAAACACAAGACTATCAAAATAACGTACATAATAAAGCTGAATAAAAGAGAGAGAGTGTGAGAAGTTAGATATATTATTTATGTAATGCTATACAACGGGGTGTGTGATCCTAACTTCGTAGTAATGTGTGAACAACTACAGATATTGTAAAGAAACCTCGAATGATCTGTAAACGAAGGAGATAAAGATATGGACAGAAGGAGAGAGGCAGGAAGACACAAAACAGACTAAGCTACACAGGTGATGGTGTGCCGTAAGAGGTAGGCGGGCGGCCCAGGAAGGTGCCTCATCATCTGTTGTAACAGGGATTGTCGATACCAGACAGCACGTCCCCGCTCCCGGTCACTACCACATCGTTTGGTCCTGCCCCTAACATCCCTACCCCTACCCGTTCCTAATACCTTCCCACTGGTCCCAACACAGCCCTCACGGTGCCCCGGGAGGAAGAGACAGCCCTTAAGGTCTCAGTGGGTCGATGATCTTGGGCCGATTCACCCTCGTCGTCCATGTTTGGGTTTCCAGGAGTACCTCGTCCTCTGGCAGATCAGCAACTCTCCTCCTCCTCTCTTCCTCTTCTTCTTCCTCTTCTTCTTCGGCAAGGTCTTCCTCGAGGATGACGTCCTCGCCGGGAATGTGTCTGGTCCTCCTCCTAGCGGGGACAAGTGCTCGACGGTCGCTGTAGGAGTCGTCAGCCATGGCGGAGATGCTGTACACCTCGTCTCCCGTCACTATCACCTCTCCCGCCACCTCTGGGTCGTACCTGGCGGCCAGCAAGAATGAAAGGTCGTACAAAAGTGCACGAACACACACACATACACACACATACATACACATACACACACATGATCTAAAAATAGTATCGCGACAAACTCTGAGCCCACGACATGACGTCTTAACTCCTTAAGAAAATATTGTATCACACACAAAACTTTTCAGAAGACTTTTTGTTGTTTACCTGAGAAGTGAACCGCGACCTCCGCCGCCCACCGCCACCACCGCCACCCCACTACTGCTGCTGCTGCCGCCGCTGCCGCCGCTGCCGCCCACTTGACCATCTTCCAGACCGCGCCGCCCACACTTACCCGGGATCAGTGCTTGGCTGAATCTGTTCAGAGAGACTATATTTTAACCTTGTAATGACCTGCCTAACCTAACCTAATCAAACTCCTCCAGGTAGGGTTAGGGTGGTTGATATTTGGATACTACTACTACTACAACTAATGATAATAATAATAATATTCTTATTATTAGTATTGATATCAGTTGTAGTAGTTTAGTACAGTAATAGTTACTGGAATTGATTTGGACAAATACTTATTTATCAATTAAAGGATTTTGATAATAGTGCATTTTGTTAATAGGAAGATAGTGGAGAGAAACGTTAAGATGCTTATGTGTTTGTTTGTGTTGCTGTGTAGTTAACATGTTATGAGAATTATGTAAGAAGAATAAATAAGAAGAAAAGAAATTTCTGATGATAAAAACGTTTATGCCGAAAAATGTCTACGAAAGATTAAACTTTGTTCATAAAACAGGCAATAATGGAGAGGAGACTAATGAATATTATGGACACGCTAAGGAAGATTATTATTAGATTTATAGTGCCTCTTAGACATGATTATATTTAATGGTGTTCAAACGAAAATTATATAAGGATGGGCGGCAGATGATTGTTTGGGATGGGGGCATTTATCCACCCGTAAATATCTGAAGAAGTGAAGAGGTCTGGCAGAACACCTGACTGGATACATATAAGGGGACGCAGAGAGTTGCTCTAAATTGACGTGTGAATTATTTGATTACTATAGTGAATAACTTGTGTGTTATAAATCACTCACCTGTGGGAGTATATAACATTAGGTCTCTATATAGGGAAGTCGAGGGAGCGAGGGATGATCTGGTGAGGGTGAGGTTTGCCCAGGTCAAGCGGGTCGCCCTCCTGCCTACACACACGTATCAGCATCACGATCACCACAGACAACAGGATGAACACGCACATGCAGCCCACAGCGATGTAGATAACAAGTTCTACATCGTCAGTCTTCTTGATTACTGGTTGGAAATCTTGATCCTCTTCGTCAGTCCTCTTAGTTAGAATCTTCTCCAAGTAGAAGATCTCCTCAGAGATTTCCAAGAGTGTGGTGTTGGCCTCTGCCAGCTTTCTTAGCCTCACCTCTACTTGAGGGAATTGATGTATGTCTAGGCTAATGTTGACCATGAAGGTGTTGTCGCAGAACACCGACGGCACATATACGTCATTGTAGTCCACAGTAAGCTTGGCCGAGAGTGCCGCCTTCAGGAAGGTGACGAAGGTGGTCATTCGTTGCTTGATGACAGAACAGTTACCGTCCAGGACCAGCACGAACCAGCGGTACCTGGATGACCCCCGTTCCCTCATATCTGGCCCATCCTGGAGACTAGTTTGCTGTAGGTTGGTCTCCTCGATGACTGCTTCCGTTTCTGCTGTAGTTTCATCAGAGCCTGGCGGTAACGGGTCAAATATCTCAATGTTGTATTTTTTGTTACTTTCCTGCACTGCGGATGGGCTTGAAACCTTGCTGACGTTCAAGGTTATCGGAGAACCTTGACCGATCCACGAGTGGCTGAGGGAAAGGGCTGTTGGCGGCAGAGGAGGTTGTGTGTTGGTCTCTTGCCTCGGCCCCGACGTGTCTGGCACAAGGTGGTGCTGCAAGATTGATATAGCCAGTAAGAGATCACTTGTTGCTTCCTCATCTTTCTCAGACAGTTCCATCTCCAGAGTGTCAAGGTTGACTTTTTGAGGTCTGTCTAAAGCTGTGCCGTTGAGGCCGAGGTCTTTGGAGTTGTCTGTCGAATCAGTCAAGCTGTCGATGCCTCTGTTTGCTTTGTTTTTTACTCCATCCTTGTTTTTCTTCTCTGTTCCTTCTCCTTCCCTTAACTGAGTCTCTGTGAAGTCTTCAGAGAACGCTTCTGTTGACTCTCCTTGTTCCGTCAACTGAGCCGGAAAATTTCGTGTCAATTTCTCATGTCGAGTTTCCTTTGAATCCCCGGGAGTCTGCTGAAGAGCCTGGCCTGTGACGTTTCTTTTTCCAGACAATAATTCTGGAACATTTTGAGTATTTTCTCCAGTATTCCAGATGTCAGAGTCGTCTTGTAGATATTCTTCACTATCCTCGTTGATGAAGTCAATCAATCTAACATTGATGGTATCTCTATTATTTAGGAATCCTTTAAATCTTTTACGTGAAGGTAATTTGCCTCTATCAACCTGGATATTGGATTTCGTATCTTGCATTCCCGCTGAAGTCCGGTGGCTGGTGGTGCTTCCTGTTGCCCCGGCTGGCTGTGAGGCCGTCCTGCGATACCCGCCGGTGCTTCCGGCTTCCGCTTAAGGTAAAGAAGTCTTGCTGCAGGCGAGTTTTCTTTGTGTGTTGTGATTAGTGAGCAGTGATCCGCGGTTCCTGGCACCTGTGGTGGAGGAGTGAGTTGTAGAAGAGAGTGTAGGAGACGCTTCTGCAGCAGGTGTCGATGACGGTGGTGCTGCAGGTGGAGGGTCGGGCCACAAAGGAACTTGTGGAGGAGGGGACGACGGTGGAAGCTCTGATAGATGATATGGTTGTCGCCCAGCCGTCGTGCGGCCCCCAGTGGCCCAAGACACCTGGCTGGTCTTCAGACTGGGTTGATAAAGGGAAGACGATTGGAAGAATTGCTGTGAAGTGGAAGACCTTGGAGAGTGTGGTGACGAGCTGAGCGACAACCCCGACGTGTGACCTTTATCCAGTGAAGTGTGGGGGTCAGCACCCAGGGTGTCAGTGTCACTTAGAGCTCCAACTCGACTGTGAAGTGGTGTTACCCGTAGTGGAGTGGGCGAGTGTGGAGGATGGAGGGCCTCGGGGTGCTGGTGCAGCTCCTGGTCCTCCACGCCTCGCTTGGTATTGATTGCATCACCACCGCCTGCCCATCCTCCTGAAAGCAAAGTTGGATCATTGAATTGTTTGTTCTAAATGACTATCTTGGGGCCACGCTTTATCTCCGCCTTTGTGCTCTCAAAAGTAAATAAATACACCATCAGGTGCTCTTGTCGATCGTGGAACTACCTCTCGGTGGACTACCATCCGGCACCTGCCCTGCCACCCCGCATCACTACAGAGAATGATACATTATGGTGTGAGTGTCATCATATCTAATTACAGCACTATACACCGCCTTAGGAACTATGTACGGAAGAGCTACAATCATTAAAACATACACAACAACCTCTGTCAATACACACACGAATTACTTACGTGATGACGCTGGCAATACATACACAGCAATGTGTATACAGCCGCGAGTGTCAATACTTACACAGGAATATACAAACAACAGGAAGGAATAATACCTACACGGTGACCAGTGGTAACACTCACAGCAAGACGTACATGGTATCATTCATTACTTACACTGTAGCATGTATACAGTACTATACATAAAGTAATCTGCATACTTCTCTATATACTGGACACAACACAGTAGAATAATGTGAGAGTAGAACAGTATATCTAAATTCTGCTGTTAAATAATACATGAAATGCCAAGTTTCTCCTCCGGTTATTGTGAAACAAAAACAAAACAAAATAGCTTATCAATTATATATTCATATATCACATGTAACAAATGCAACATGCTAAGCCACCATCTCACAGGACACAGCTTGGCTCTGATTGACTGAAATTAAAACAAATTAACAATGGTAATGTGATCTTGATGGATTTCATTAGTTTTCTTTGCTTATTTTAATATTTTTCGAACTTTGGTGAGACTGGGACTCATTCTCGTACCTCAGATATTATATAAATTAACATAAACTATTTACCTGTCCTTAACTCACGCAAGATAAACTCCTACAGATGTTGGCTGATGTTTTTGTCTTGTGTTGTCCAAAAAAAAAGATAGTGAGACAGTTTATCTGGACTGAAAATACCGAACTTTGCTGTTTGTTACCTAAAATAAAATTTTATTGGATTAACAATTGTAAAATGCATCACTTCACATCGTCATAATTACTTTTTTCTTTCTTCACCATTTTCTGGTTTTGTTTAATAGGAAAAAATTAACCGGTTGTCGGGGAATCTATAGGTAGAAATGATGATACAATGCGGCTCTTCCCTTAAAAGTCACTTAATAACTCTGCCCGGATGTTGTTAATAAGGCGGTGTGCACCCTGAAGCAGTAAGCCTTAGGTCTTAGTTATGTTTGGACCAATAAATCTTGTTTAACACTTTTAACACAAGCAAAATAACACCCAAACACCGAGGAGAGTGTCAGGGGGGAATCATTAGTTTGTTGGAATGTGAAGAATCATTTACTCGTTTATATATAGAAAGCGGATGGAAGACGGTAGGAGGTGGTGGCGCTCATAACAAGGATAGTGTCAACCAACCGACCAAACACACACACAGATGACTTTCAGCACAGACACACACACACACACACATAGATGACCTTCAGCACACACACACACACTCATTGAAAAGGCTTTTGTTTATACGTCAATTGGTTAAAAAATAAAAGAAGATGGGACAAAATCGCGGGCGTTAGACAAAGAATGAGACACTTACTATATTTGTTTACATATGAGAATCAGCTGAGAACGACGTACGCGTTTATTTAAGCCGTGTAGCATTAACTGAGCCTTTGTTGATTTTCTGTGGTTCTTAAATCTACGAATTTTTGAGAATCCCAAAGTTTGCTCTCCATCCACGAGAATTTATTTACAATGAGTTTCAAAGTCAACTTCATATTTCCAGATCATATAACGCTATCGGAATTTTCGCTACTGTGTAAATATTCTCTTTGATATGCAAAAGTGTGTATTGCCTCACCCTGATAACTCGTACAATTTTGGTGTATTATATTGTTGGCTACGGGTGCGTATTATGTTGGTGGGTTTTATACCAACACAGCTCGTTCACCTAACATACATATTCTAAACTGTTCTACTAAAGTGTTCATGTACGCATATATAATACCGTGTTGCAGTTGGGTGTGTGTGTGTGTGTGTGTGTGTGTGTGTGTGTGTGTGTGTGTGTTAATATACTGTACACTCTCACTAAGTGTATGAGATCGAATATATAAGACTTAATTTCTATCTGTCTCACAATTTCATAGTTACTTAGTGAATTATTGAGGTAAACATGGAAGAGTAAATCAGAGGTAAATATTGTTACTACTAATCCTTCTAAATTCTGAATTAGATTGTATGAAATATGATTCTTTTTTAATCTTTCTCTTATACCTTTACTTAATGAGGTGAGAGAAAAGGCAAGTGAGGTAATGAGGGGAGAGAAAAGGCAAGTGAGGTAATGAGGTGAGAGAAAAGGCAAGTGAGGTAATGAGGGGAGAGATATACTGACCAGTGGAGAGGGTGCAGACGACTAGCAGCAGCAATATGGGGGAGACGCCCACTGTCATCCCCGGCAACTCCGCCCTGAAACAAACACAGTACACCAGCCATCAATAACAAGTACTCCAAACAATGACAACACTGCAGCTTTAACAACGACATCACAAGGAATTAAAGTCATCGTACTCAAAAGGCATTTAGACATAGTATTCAAGGTAGTTAAGTCATCGTACTCAAGATATTCAAGGTAGTTAAGTCATCGTACTCAAGGTATTCAAGGTAGTTAAGTCATCGTACTCAAGGTATTTAGACATAGTATTCAAGGTAGTTAAGTCATCTACTGAAGGAATTAAATTAAAATACCAGTACTTCAAGTTAGTGGATTTAGGGAGTTCATTTTCGTTGCGTTAGTCAGCTCTATGTTCGTATTTCCTGACCTGGCTGATAAGGCTATTTTCCTTGTACAAAAGAGAGTTATTTTCATCAAGTGGATGGGGGGGGGGGAATCTGTGAGGCTAGTGGCCATTTCTTAAGGGTCAGAGGTCAGTGATCAAGTGTGGGGGTGAGGTCGTAGGTCAAGGGGTCAGGTGTCAAGAGGGTCAAGGGTCGTCACTCATTCCCGCTGTTCTCGAGGGGGGTCGACAAGCGCCTCTTTAAGGATGTTCCGTCACCACGCCCAGGGCTTTCTCCCCAGTGTGTGTGTGTAAGGCGACATTCACCCCAGCTCTACCATTATAACCACACCACCACCACCACAACAACTCCTGACGTGTGTGTGTGTGTGTGTGTGTGTTTTTATAAGAGTTGTAGTTAATTTTTTTCTCTCTCCTGGAATAAGACAAGACAAATATCAAGACCTAGCATAAAGTCTACGGTGTTACCATGCCGTGTTTCACTTACTGCTCCTAGAACCTGTATGAGATGGTGGTTAGGTTAGGTTGAGACAGCTAGTTATGTATACAGTAAGAGTGTATAAAAACTTGATACTATTTAGTTTATTTACCTTTTGTATGTCAATTAAGGCCAGTTTCTATTTTATGTACATACAAAGTTATTAAAGCCTGAAAGTGCACACGGACTTTTCTAAACACCATTAATGGACGTGGAAAACACACACACACACACACACCACACACACACACACACACACACGGTAGTCAGTCAAAAACGAAGGCTGATACAGGCAGCTTCAGTTGATGAGTTTTGTGTGTGCTTCTACGAACGACCATATGTTTGTTTTTTACTGTGTGTCTGTCTGTTGGCGTTTGGGAATGAAATAACTGGATTGAGAGAGAGAGAGAGAGAGAGTAGACATCAGATTGGAATATACAGCAACACTACCATCCTCTCTCCTTCCCTCTCCCTCAATTCCCCACGTTTGAGTGTGGCTTGGGTGACCCTTCCTGCTGCTTCCGGACTCACTGTGAACTTTTCCTTCTCACCGCATGACTAATTTCATGTGTTAGGAGCAGCTGCTTTGACCAAGGTTAAAACTCCTTCCTATCTTACTGGCGGCGCTGAGTCCGGATATCTCTAAAGCTCCTTACATTAAATTTTCCGCCCAAACTGAAGACGTAAGAGAGCGTGTAACTGGTTCACTTAAGCTACGACGGCACTACGATGGCTGTGCTTAGTCTGTAGAAATTGCCCAGTGACTTTTAAAAAGGGTAAAATGATGCGTTCTCTGATCCCCTGTTATAAGAGGAAACAATATTAATGACCCGAGAATTTTTGGAAATCTTAAGAGATCATTTTAGATTATTTATTTAGTTATTTATTTATTTTATTTATTTATTTATTTATTAGAACCAAAAAGCTCTTCAGGTGGTTGATCAAGTGAGTCTCCAGGCAGAGTGTGAGTGTGAAGGACAAGTTTGTATTCCTCTACCATGAAAGTGAACGCCAGCACCAACAATCAATCACGTTTATAGCATTTACGACACTGTTTTGGGATTCTCTCTGTGTGTGTGTGTGTGTTCGTTCGTTCGTTCAGGTACATTTAAAGACTCCATACCTACCCCATAACCCCCCCACCCCCACACACACAGTGCTTGTCAAGTGTGAAACAGAGTTAGACATATACCCTCCCACCCCCTCTCCTGTCTCACCAACAGTATATAACAACGAGATACAAAACCTACTGCTGACAAATGACCAAAGGGGAATAAAGTAAAGCAATATTCACACCCCAATTCATTCCTCACACTCACCCACCCTCCACCCCATCATCGAAAACGGTGGACGTCTAAAAGGTCAAAGAAAATGCAACTTTTAACAACGGGAACAGGGACAGATGGTGGTCGTCAGTGGAATTACCAACGAGGTAAAATAACACGGTGGTTAGTGGAAATACATGGCCATCACGTCTTGTTCATTATCTCCAGCTTTCCCAGTAAAAAAAAATATACTGTTCTTAACTTTCCTCTTATCTCGCAAAAAAAAAAAAAAATCGTATCCTAAACATTTATTTCGTATACACATTTTTGTCTCTTCACTTATAAATATGGAATTATAACTCGTATGAATCTCTGGGAATCTGCACTTGTTGGCACAGAATCTTGAGCCTTCAGAGGCACTTAAGGGTGGCACTCCATACTGTTAAGTACATTTTCCAGGACAAGAGAGAGAGAGAGAGAGAGAGAGAGAGAGATTTTAGAGTTGAGGCTGTGTGTGCGTGTGTGTGTGTGCACGCGAGGGACTTCCACACACACTACTAACTCTCGGCACTAAGTTTGTCCTCCGCTGAATGACGAATCTATTACCTCGTTTGTAACTGGGGTGTGATGACTGACTGGGGATGAAGACAGGGTAATGACTGACTAAGGGTGTTGACTGACTGGGGTGTATTGACTGACTGAGGGTTTTGACTGACTGAAGGTGATGACTGATTGAGTGTGTTGACTAAAGATGATGACTGACTAAAGATGATGACCGATTGAGGGTGATGTTATAATACGTAGGGATGTAAAGTGGAAATATTGTCGATACTCGTCAAAAGTACATCAGGGATTTAAGTGTAAAGTGATTTTAGTATAAGTGAGTGGTATGAGAGGAGCACCATAAAGTGTTGTCAAGTCTTATAAAGTCAACGTCGGATAATTAGAGCAAGATATCTTCTATTTAAAACTGAAAATATTTACTCGGTGACAAAGACGAAATACAGTTACCAATTTAAAAAGAATTGCATGAAATAAATACCTTGATGGCAACTAGAGAAATTGTGCTTATAATCTTTTAAAATATCGACTAAAAATGTTCGCGGAAATATACATACACATACGAACGTTAGTGAGTGTAGATGGGTGTAACTATCGGTAACTAACCATTCAATTTAACGTTACTCCACTCGCAGATAATTGTGGGACATTAAAGACTGTTAATGGCTGAAGCGGTCGACTATTACCAGTGATTAAAATGAACTTGAGTCAAGGCCAGCAGTGTCCCCTTAAATTATTACTCGCAAAACAGAAAATGGGATTACCAGATTTTTAGCTGTAAGAAAATGGAAAAAAAGGGGACAACTTGAACAATTATTTATATCTTGACAAATTTACGTGACACGATGAAGCCACCAGCGTGTAAATGACTCAATGAAGCCACCAGCGCGTAAATGACTCGATGAACCCACCAGCAACGTGTAAATGACTCAATGAAGCCACCAGCGTGTAAATTACTCAATGAAGCCACCAGCGTGTAAATGACTCAATGAAGTCACCAGCTGTAAATGACTCAATGAACCCACCATCTTGTAAATAAGTGACTCGGTAAAGAGATCAACTTGTAAGTAAGTGACTCAATGAAGACTGCAGCTTCTAAGTGACTCAACAGCAAGGGCCAATTATCTTGGGCAGGTCAGGCGTGTGGTGCGGCAGTAACGTGCAGGCCGGGTGGAGGAGGTTACAGTATTTAAGCATACAGGTTACAGCATACAATATACATTATACAACAATACAGCAATGTAGCATACGGCAATACAGTGTGCAGCATAGAGCAATACAATAAAAGCATACAGATTACAGCATACAGCAATACAGTATATAACAATACAGTAATACATTATACAACATGGCCAGGTAATACAGTAATTACCGTATGTATCTCAACACTATTCTGGATTAAACCTACACTATACTTTAAGTCATGACCCTCTTAGGACGTTGGTTTAAGCTGTAGCCTTTTGATGAAGTTAGATTAAGTTTTAACACTTTGATGACGCTCTGGGTAGTGGTGAGAGAGGGGGTGAGGGAGGGTGGTGGGTGAGGGAGGGGGTGAGGGAGGGGGGAGGGAGGGTGGTGAGGGAGGGGGGTGGTGAGGGAGGGTAGTGGTGGGTGGCGATGAGAGAGGGTGGTGGTGGAGGGTGGGTAGTGGTGGTAGTGAGGGAGGGTAGTGGCGGGTGGTGAGGGGAGGGTAGTGGTGGGTGGTGAGGAGGGTAGTGGTGGTGGTGAGGGAGGGAGTGGTGGGTGGTGATGAGAGGGTGGTGGTGGAGGGTGGGTAGTGGTGGTAGTGAGGGAGGGTAGGGGGTGGTGAGGGAGGGTAGTGGTGGGTGGTGAGGGAGGGTAGTGGTGGGTGGTGATGAGAGAGGGTGGTGGTGGAGGGTGGGTAGTGGTGGTGGTGGGAGGGAGGGTAGTGGTGGTAGTGAGGAGGGTAGTGGTGGGTGGTGTGAGGAGGGTAGTGGTGGGTGGTGATGAGAGAGGGTGGTGGTGAGGGTGGGTAGTGGTGGTGGTGAGGGAGGGTAGTGGTGGTAGTGAGGGTGGGTAGTGGTGGTAGTGAGGGAGGGTAGTGGTGGTAGTGAGGGAGGGTAGTGGTGGTGGTGAGGGGTGGGTATGGTGGTAGGAGGAGGGTAGTGGTGGTAGTGAGGGAGGGTAGTGGTGGTGGTGAGGAGGGTAGTGGTGGTAGTGAGGGTGGGTAGTGGTGGTAGTGAGGGAGGGTAGTGGTGGTAGAGGAGGGTAGTGGTGGGGTGGCGATGAGAGAGGGTGGTGGTGGGTGGTGATGAGAGAGGGTGGTGATGAGAGAGGGTGGTGGTGGTGGTGAGGGAGGGTAGTGGTGATAGTGGTGGTAGTGATGGAGGATAGTGAGTTTATCTC